TATTTTCTTCATAAATTAAATCTAGTATAAGACCAAAAATTGCACAAATGTTAAATGATCCTTTCACTACATTGCTTGAAAAGTTTTATATCCACATCATAATATCATTCTGTTACTGTTATGTTATAAATTGTGGCCGAGTGGATGCCCAGTTAATGTATGATTTGTTAAGATCGCCAATCAGAGAGCAGTGAATTATCGATTGGAACAGTGACACACGAAAACCGTACGAGCAGTCTAGAGTACGTATCGGTCCTGCTTCTGCCTAGCCCAGCCAGTTGAGTCCAGAACAGCCTCTGTGGTACGGATCATGATATTTTAAACATATTGAGTTTATATACCAATCTAGCTGACCAGATCGTACCAATAAGATAGAAAATGACATTTGTAAAAGATCTAGCCAAATGTGTCTGTGAATGTGGGAGGCAGCAATTAATAAACTAGGGATAACTCGAGAATGGTAAATCGTATAATAATAGTCTGTGGGTCAAAATAAAGTTTATAATAAGGGGGACACGAATATGAATAGTTTAGTTATTCAGCGATTATACTGTAAAAAATATATGCATACTGTTGGTTCACAAATAGATTCCAAAGTTACCATTCATCATCCTTATAGGGACATACTTACTTACTTACTTACGCCTGTTACCCCTCGTCGAGGAGCATAGGCCGCTCACCATCATTCTCCATCCAACTCTGTCCTGAGCCTTCCTTTCCAGTTCTTTCCAGTTACTATTCAGCCTTTTCATATCGGCTTCTATTTCCCGGCGTAGTGTGTTCTTTGGCCTTCCTCTTTTCCGCTTCCCTTCCGGATTCCAAGTTAGGGATTGAGTCGTGATGCACATTAGTGATTTCCTTAATGTATGTCCGATCCACTTCCAACGTCTTTTCCTTATTTCCTCTTCAGCTGGAAGCTGGTTTGTCCTCTCCCATAAAACGCTGTTGCTGATAGTATCCGGCCAGTGGATGTTGAGTATTTTGCGTAGACAACTGTTTATAAATACTTGTACCTTCCTGATGATGGCCGTATTATAGGGACATAACATGTTATAATCATCTGGGATAATATTTCATGAACTAGATATCACAGGAAAATTGACAATTGGCTGAAAATAGGACTTTTATGAGTTTTTAATATTACCGAAAACTTTATATCATCATCACTCCGAAATAGATCATATTAGTCTGTGAAATCTCTTCACGAAATACTTGAATAGTAAATTAATCACACTAACTTCTCATCTTGTTTTATTTCTCAATATTTTATACTATGAGTCATTTAGTGGATTGAAAGTAAGACCTTCACATCAGGTTACTAATAAAACAATTAGTCTTATTATAATAGTTCATCGTTTTCAGATCTAAACTGTGAGGTAATTATAATGTCCTTTATTTTCAGTGCCTATCTTTCATCAGTGTTTTCTTTAAGTTTATTGTCTTCAGCTATCAGTATCCCTTGTTCGAAATTATAGAGTCCCACAAGAGAACTAAGTAACTCAAAAGCGATAATTGTTTATGGTTGATTCAAGCTTGGATTCTAATTATTTGGGAACTTTTTTTATAAATTAAGGAGTTGAAACAAAATAGAGGTTCTAGTGTTTCCCACTTTTATTAAACTTCAATAAAATTCTGATTGCTTTTTTTCAACCAGAACGTTTTTCATAAGATATCCTGTATCTAAGAGACAATATAAATAATTTTCTACTTTCCCGAACTTACTAGTACTAGTTATTCCAAAAACAAGTATCTGGTAAGTGACATAATAAACATCTCAAGTATGTATTTTCAAGGGTACTTTGTAAATTTGATACTAACAAGTCATTCAGTTGTACCTGAGCCTAGTCATCAAATAACCAGTTATTCAGTGTTTTTAGACAACCGACAGTTTCCATAGTAAAAATAACTTATAAATGTAGTGAAACACTTTAATTGACTAAATACAAATATCAACTACATTTAACGGATCGATACCTGACTTTCCAGACTTTTCTTATTGGCCTACACTTCAGCTGTCAAGGTCATGATGTGTGTGTTTGTGTGAAAATTATAAATTATCCACATCATATCTTACATGCAAATTGTAAATTCAGAAGGATTTATGTAGAGTACTTGAAGGAAAATTATCTGCTAAATCTGACATTTTTTGATATATATCAACTTAATCTAACCTAATTAATGTTGTTTGTAACATGAAAGAAACGATTTTTTAGTTGAATATAAAGCATTGGTGTTTTACTTATGAAATTCCATAGATTTTTATTCATATGATACTTAATCACTTAATATGAATATTAATGTTAACGGAATATAGATTGGGTTTAAGCACGTCCCATGCAGGATTGTGTTGGTGCACGCTGATTGATTATTTCCTAACCAATCAGCGCTAGTGGGAACTTGGAGAAGACTCTAGAATCTTCACATGTAAAAATTATAAATATACTAATGTTTTTCTTATTGTGCTGCCTACTTTCATCTAACCTTGTTATTTGAAATCTTTGAAAACTTTGAACTAAACTATCATTCAATCATGTTTACCATACGTTTCACTCTTATTAACGTTTATCAACAAACCTTATTTGAACATCAAACAAATTATACAACTCTTATAAAATTGAGCCCATTCTACTTCAAGTTGCTGTCACGGCTAAATGCAACAAAGTTTTTAAACTAAAAGCAATAGTCTGTGGGAGTAGATGAATTGAGCTAATCACTCATTAAATAGTAACCAATAGAATTTGATCCTTAAAGCTAACTATGTTTGATTAATCAAATTTCAATTTAGCGATCAGTGTAAGGCTCTGAACTTCACAATAGACTATTGCATGTTGAGAATCTGTAAGCAGACTATGGAAAAGCCTAATGTATAGGGAAGCCTTGATTTATAGAGAGATACAATATTGAGCAAAAAAGTTATATTTATCAACTGGTATAAGTATTTTGATTGTGCACACATTTGAGTTTCACTTGTGAAGTAATTAGAACAACCCCTGAGTCGTCTGTACAGTGTACAGCCTTGAGAAACTAAATGCTCAAACAGTATATCACACAAGGGTTTGAAACAAACTCAATAAATAAAATTAGTATTTATTTAGTCTGTGCTATGCATGTTATCCAATTTGATCAAATCATAATCCATATTTGTAACAATATGATGACTAGAGTGTCAAGCAGTCTGATGCTAATATTTACCCAGTTATGTTTGTTATTTTTATAATATTTCATCGTTATTACTATCTTGCTTCCACTAATGAACTCGATTTTCACTACTTAGTTACTTAACACCGTATATTATGTGCTAAGTTATGAATCTTTCTCCATTTTCCAGGACTTTTATCTGGGCTTTATTCAGCTTGTCAATATTTGAATCATAAAGGAAGTCAGTCACAGAACAAACTGCTCATTACCACGGTTAAAGACCGTGAAAGTAAGTGATGAGGTTTCAGATCCTACAATCAGAGTAAGTTTGCTCAGGATTCTTGGTAGGTTTTGCTGAAGGTTGTTTACTAACTCGAAAACTGAGTTCATGGTTTCTTGTAGATCATCTCCAATTAATACTCCAGTGAATTTAATTATGAAGTTCATTTTAGACTTCTAGAAATCTGTCCTGATGCCCTTATTACTTTTTTCTAGAATACTCATAAGGTTTTCTTATAAATAGTCAGTCATATGAACAATGCCTATCACTGTTCTACATTCATTACTCTTTACAAATCTGTATTTATATTCTCTCATTGAAATTAATAGATTTATATTATTCTCCTACAATTCTCGTATTTAGTTCAGCGGCAATGGAATAGCTGTGCCAAAAGATTAGCAGTCAAATATTTCACTTCATTGACATGTTAGTTGACATTAACGGAGATAATAATAATGGTAATTTTCTCACAGACCATTTCAGTAAAAGCAAAATAAAGTAATTGTTGAATGTAGTATGTAAGTTTCTACTTTATTACTTTTTTCAGTAATTTTAGATTATTTTGAACATATTAAGTGATTAAATTCACTTAGTATTGTTTGTTTGAATCTTCCCATTGATGTTTAGGACTGTAACTGGTCAGTCTCTGATTGGCATATGTGCATACTGTGCGTATTGCCTCGATAAAGCCTTAATCCACAAGCATTGTAAGCAAAGATGGATAGTGGCTAGCAGTGGAATCCAGTTTGATGCGTGTTTCGTCCTATTTGAAACTCGTCGTCTGGATGTGCCCGCACCTCAGAGTTGATGTTCACTCCTAAACATCAATGGGAAGATTCAAACTTCACTCCACTGCACAAACAAGTAGCTATCAGGACTCAGTGGCCGAGTGGATAACGCAATGGCGTTTGAAGCCAGATGTACTGGGTTCGAGTCCCAGAGTGAACATCAACTCTGAGATACAGGTACATCCAGCGGACGAGTCTCGAATAGGACGAAATGCTCGTCCTGGATTCCACTGCCAGCCACTATCCATCTTTGCTTATAATATCACGATTTTTATTTGAATCTTTCTTATTTTTTTAGCATATATTTCTTTTCTAACAGAGAAATATTTATCATGGAGTAACATAATTTTACCTCTATTGGTTTAAACCAATCATTTGAAATCTACAAGCAAATAATATAGTAATCAAATATTAAGAAAGGTAGTTTCATTATCTGTTGTTTTCTTACCACATTATTGATTTTGTAAGTTTAGATGAAAGAAAGGTTACACTATTTTCTATTCAGTATTATGTATATACACAATATGAAAAACTGTTATTCAGTAAAGTTTTACATTGTTAGTTTAAATAGTTATGAATGTTTATTATAGTTGTGCTTGTGCACAAACATCACAAACAAATTTGATTGGATTATACATGAAATTTTTTGGGAAATCTACACAGTTAAAAAAGTGGAATATTATTGATTTTTTTTCAATAATATAATACAAATCTTTCATTCATATATTTTTCTGGAACGCCCACGTCTCAACGGTTCAATGTAGATATATATATATATATACACATATATATTTATGGAATAAAAATTCCTTAGATTTTAGAAGCATCATTTTGTTTTGCATTAGCTGCTCTGTGTTAAGTTAACATGGGAGAAGAAGTAAGTTAGATTTTGATAATCATTATTATATCATAACTATTATTTTTATCCTTTCTTCTACTTGAAAAATGATATTGATTAACATGCAAGTAGAGTTGAGTGTTAACTTAAATGTAATTAATGATCAGAATAGTGTAAAGAAAGGCTAAGTACATCTAATTGAATTATTGCTATTTGTGATAATGGGTGAAAGTTTTTTCTCATATTAGATCTAATTACATAACAACGATAAATTATTTTGTTTAAGTAACTATCTTGAACCTAATACTTTTATTAGAGACCAAAATCTGTCATGACTGTATAAAAGAAATATAGAGAGGGAAGTGGATGTAATTCTATCTAACAAAAAATATGTTTATTAAGAAAGATTTCATCTACGAAAACTAAACAGTGTTATCCATTGAACTTTTGTGAAAGAAATCCTACTGTTCCAGTCGTACAGCTTTAAAACTAAATTATTAAGAAATGAAATATCTTACGTCATTATATATAATTTCCTCATACCTTCTGATAATCAATAGCCTCATCCCCCTAGGTAGCTACTTGATAGTTAAACTTACTTTCTACAAGAATACTTCGATTTTGCTTTGGTTATTTGTTAACAATGTGTTGAATAATAGATAAATAGGTCGTTTTACTGAGATGAATAAATCTTTTCAGGAACTTGTGGTTTTCCTGAGATTTATTTTCCTTCGAGTGGTTTCTTTCCTTTCACAAAAGTAACGGTTAGTCTTTCTTCCTGTTGAATGTCAAAAGACACTTAGGCAGCTAATTATCTGTAGTATTTTAACAGAAATGCTTGTGCTATATCTTAAACAATCACTCAGACTACAAGCATTCAAATATTATTAATGACATTATGGAGATCTAAACTTTAAAGGCTTATATTTTTGATAGCTTTTAAGAAAGTGAACTGATACCAGTCGACTAGTTGTTGCCATTTAACTGGTAATAATTGTTATTAAAATCTTTGTTTTCAGGGTAGATAGGAAATTCCATTACAGTAAGTCAAACGTGACACCCTAGATAATTAAAGAAATAGAATAAAATTTGATTTAATATTCATCAACTATAAATTGTTTATGAGATTACTGGAAAAATCGTTAGGCTTAATTCATATGTGTCAATGAGATGACAAGATCTCACAATATCGAGCAAACCTGATTGGTTAGACCAGAGGTGGGAGCACTTGAACAAGTGGCAACCCCCAGAAATATATTCGAAAGTGACCATGAATGAGGTAACTAGTGTTCAAAACCCAATTCAATATCCTTTCAAAACAACGTTTGATGATGAAGTACTCTAATTTCTCGACATTAGTAACATAACCAGATTTTAGAACTTAACAATAATTTTTCGAAAATAGAAATAAGAAAGATTGGTTCAGCGAGGAGTTCTCTTTTCGGCGAATCTATTTTCAAATCTGTACAATCGCAAATATATATCTACTTATTTTTCATCTTGAAAATAAATATGCCGTAAAGAGGACTTTTCGCCGAACCAATCTTTCTTATTTAATGTCTCAATTGGTGTATTGTGTTTTCAATATTTCTCTACGATTTCAAAAAATTTAAAACAGATTTATTTGTTAACTAACCTGTACATTCGATAAGGAGGAAAGTAAGCATGGATCCCAAAAACCTGAAAGCTGGTAACTATCTATATAAACTTTTCATTCGTGATAAATCATTAATGTTGATTACTGCACAGTGGTTTATTAGTTTATCAATAATAGTTCATTACTAGAAATGTTTGATTGTTTTGTTTGTAAGCTCAACCGGGCAGTATCTTCTGAAAAGGTTACTCACCAGTATTTTAGATCGGTAAACCGAAATTAACAATTTAACAACTTGCCTAATTATTAATTTTTTTTAATGAGAATTTTTACTGTTATCTTTAAATAAGATGACGAAACCGATTAAAACTATTGAAAAAAGCATTGTACATTGCACGGAATATGGCTTTTATACCAAGTTATTGTTTTCAATCCTTTGATAATTAGGACTCTCAACGAAAGTAAACAAACAATTTTAACTACTGAATTGTTTTATTAGTTGTTCACTTGAGATTTCCTGTATACTATTTATCAAAATAGGATAACAGAAATTCGAAAATCCCTTATTTAAAGCCCCAATAATTGCACTTCCGTTATTACTTTAAACGAAATCATCACTTTATCGCAGGATCAATCGTATTTTAATCGTTACAGTTATTGTTATCACATATCACTTGTGAATACATAACAAATGTTTAAACAAACAGATGGATTATTATTTTATTAAGCGCTGAAGTATACGTGCTTACGAAGCTTCATAACATTTTTGTTTAAAGTATATACTGTCGATTTGCAGTATGCTAGTTAATTGATCATAGTTGAAATGGTAGTAGTAGTAGTAGTAGTAGTAGTAGTAGTAGTAGTAGTAGTAGTAGTAGTAGTAGTAGTGTAGTGAACAAAACACTGGTTGGGGACAATCGAATGTATTTAAGCAAAAATTACAGACTATCTCAGTAAATTCTGATAACCAAACAATGAACAGTCAATTTGCAAATTAACAACCAATTGTTTCAATCTTCTCTGTTTCTTCTCTAATTTCATTGCTCATGCATTTCCAAACGATTGCGCTTCATTTCAGCTCTTTGCTCATCGGTCTTCTGCCAAAATACATTATATGTCTGACCCACACCATATACTACTTATATGGATATAAGTTGACCACACCACAGTAGTAGTAGTAGTAGTAGTAGTAGTAGTAGTAGTAGTAGTAGTAGTAGTAGTAGTCCTGCTTATTTCAGTAAAACTCTGTTCAGCCAATAGATGAATACATAAAATATACTGTATAGAATATTTGGATAATACTAGTATGACTAGAAATCACTAAGAATATTATCAACCAATCCTGAATAGCTTCCAACTTTAATGCTGTTCATTTGTTTGCCGTTATTCACCTTTTTCCGTTTATATCCTTCACTATCTGACTATTTATACACGTCTTACTATACAATTTTAATAAATTTTGTCGATTATCATCTGTGTTGAACTAGCGAATGGAAATTTAATCATTTTACTACTCTTGCAGCAACTAGTACACCTACGTTTCTACTAAAGCTTGTTTTTTTTTTAAATCTATTATATGTAGCTATGCAATCTACTTCATAGTGTGCATTGACCCAAAGTACCTTTACTGGTTAAATATTTTCATACATCTATATAAATATTATTGAATAATACAGTAAAGCCTGATAACGATCTAGTTGTATATTGTTCTAGTTTCCATGATGGTTATATTTAATATTTTATTTAATTACCGCATATCTAAACTAAACGCTTTATATAGTGTTCATTTAAATAAGAATTCACATGCATATAACTATGTGAAAGTAATCGGTATATCAATGGGTAATCAAATAGAATTACAATCTATTACAATCGTTCTCACCCATACTAGGAAACTAGCCTCTTAATCAAATTTATTTCACATAAATTATGACAGAGAAAAGAATCATTTGACGTAAAATGATACAAGTCTAATATAAATTATATAGTCACTTGGAAAATACAGATTCTTATGAAAGATATCTCCATCCTTTTCCTCACTGAACTAGTTAAGTGTTAAAATCACATGTTAATTACAGGTGAGCTATATCATCAATAACATATTAACGAGTTCTATACAACATATAAACCCATCTTCCTTCTTCTTCCATAATTCCTTAAAAATCATTTTAGAAAAAAGAAAAGAAAGAAAAGAAAGAGAAGAAAGAGAAAAAAGAAAAAGAGGAGGATGCAGGAGCTCCAGCAGAGGATAAAAAAGAGACAGCGAGTAGTGGAGGCGGTGGTGGTGGTAAACGAGCTCAAAGAGCTACTTCAAATGTTTTTGGAATGTTCCCTCAGAATCAAATTCAAGAATTTAAAGAGGTATATCTTTAATCTATCTAATTTAATAATAAAATAAATATTCATATGAATGGTTAGGCCTTTTCGTTGATCGATCAAAATCGTGATGGATTTATTGATATTGAAGATTTAAAAGATATGTATGCATCATTGGGTAAGAATTAACTTTGAAATGTTCAAATTAAAATCAATGTATTTTTAATTTATATAGGTCGGACACCAACTGATAAGGAATTAAAAGAAATGTTAGATGAATCACCTGGCCCATTGAATTTCACAATGTTTATCAACTTATTCGGTGAAAAACTAAATGGTAAACTTTTTTTAGTTGACTCAAGTTAAATAATTCATGTTTATTTTTTTAACGAAACTACCATATTTTAGCAGTTAAATTCACGATCGTCAATTTAAGCTAGACTACCATTGAAAACCTGGACTGCCGTTTCGTAATATTGTGAGACTATTCAGCAGTTTACATACGCAATCCCATACTAGTATGAAACGGATGTCCAGTGCTTCCAGGTTTTCAATGGTTGTCTAACTAAGATTGACTGATGAATTAAACTAATAAAATACTAAAATCTTCACAAATCCCCATATTGATAAACTAAAGTAGTTAATTGAAGTGACTTTGTGGAGAATTTCGGATACTGACAAAACTTATATCTCTAATAGAACCTTAAGGTCCCGAGTTTGGTAATGTGTGAGATCATGACTGCTATTAGTATTGTTTACCTGTTTATTGCTCCTTGATTTACAAGATTCACATACAGACTTCAATTCATTTTAAAACTAACCATTAAAACTATAATCAATAAACTATCTTTTCACAATTTTGTTATATGTTTCAGGTACTGATCCTGAAGATGCACTACGTAATGCTTTTGCAATGTTTGATCCAGGGAACAAACGATATTTAGAAGAAGAATAGTATGTGTTTTATAACTTACAATTAATCATAATCATATTTTAGTATTAAAGATCTTTTACAAAATATGGGCGATAATTTTTCTGCTGAAGAGGTGAGTGATTGAAACTGAATAGTAGTATTTTATTTGAATAAGTAATTGTATAGTAATTTGTCATTTAAGTTTTAGAATTCGAAATTGTTTAGGTTAAATAAAACAGATATAAGTTAAGGAGTGTGTTATTAAAGAACAGCTTATAGCGAACGAGAACACAAGTGGGGATAACCAAATAAATATTAATGCGAAATTATAGAACCTCTTAGTAAAATATGAGAACCATAATATCAAAATATCAGTCAATAGTCCCAGACTTCATTGTTCTTTCATTTCCACACCAATCATTCTCTATTCTCATTTTCTTTTCTTTGATCTTCTTAACCTTCTTACGCCAGACATTTCACTTTCGATCGACGATACATACTACTTATATCTGTCGACATCAGTAGCACACACCACAAGGTAATGTATGAAATAAATAAATGAATAAACCAATGCACATGTAAAATATTTTTGCCAATTAATCTTGCACTAGACTCCATTTTCTAAAATGTAATATAACATGGATTTATGCTAATAATTATATTCTAATTATAATGTTTGCATACTGAGCTTCAAGTATCTATTCTTTGGTAATTATGTCCAAAATTCAAATTGACTGCATATTTGAGGGTACGGAAGAAAATTTTTGTGACTACAGAATGAAGTTTGTACTATTTTACCGATTTTATCCTTAGATTTCCCTTTTACCTATTTATCAATGATGTAGTTACAGGATAACTTCCCGTTCAGATTATTGTTTAAAATTAGAGAATACTAAATTGGGTGCAGTTTATTTCATAAAACTATATGGATTTAGACTAAGATCAGAGAACATTGGACAACTATCTAACACAAATTTCAAAAACTTTTCACTTATTTAAATAAATCTGAATCGTAATTTAAATATATGTTATGCAAACATTTTATTCCCACTCTATGTAGATAAGACAAACGTGGAAAGAAGCTCCAATCAAAGAAGGCAAATTGGATTACGATGGATTTGTGAATCTCATAAAGAGAGGCAATCAAGACATTTAGGACTAACATTTCCATAGAAAGGGTGAAAAATAAACTAAATTCATTCCCTTGCATATTCAATCCCTTTCCCATTTATTTACCTATTTTCACGCTATACCAAATACATGCTTTCCCTCCTCTGTTTTGTTTTAGTTTCGAAAATATCGATGCATGTATTAGATTTCTTTTATCTTTGATAGTTCATACTATTATTATTATGCATGATTAGTATATTATGTATGAGAGTTATTCGATTCTTTATTTCCTGATGGGATGTCTTTTTAGTTTCATTTCCATTGATTGAAACCTTTCCAGCTCTTGTCAACTATTAATTCCGTGCTGTGCTTTAGTTGTTGTGACCTTTACAATCTAACTTATGAGATGAAGCGTATTAACGGATCCATTTATAGTTAAACGAGGACAGATACTAGTTATTTTCAGATCTGTTAACTTCTGGTGCTCGACTGATCAAAATGCCTTATGTCTCATAATCAATCTGCTTACTTCGTCATTCAAAAACCGCCATTCTGCCATTGGTTATACTTATTTGAAAACGACCAGGTTCTTAATGGACCAGATCTCTATAGTCTTTTGTATCTATCCTTCTTGTTTTTGAATATCTCTTCACTTTATGCTATTCTTAAAAAGTGTGCTTGAAAAAAGAAACTTCGATTTAGCATTGAAACTTTTCGTCACCGATTCCCGTATCAAGCATTTACTCAAAGGAGAGGACATTCCATTCAAATGTCCAAGTTTGTGTTTGGTTTATTGGCGACACAAAATGGTCCTTAGCATATACATTTTTCAGGAGCATAGACTTACAAACAACACGAGAAGAAATGTTTCTAGTTTTCTCAAGAAAAGCCTGGACGGTGTATATCGTAGGTTAATTTCAGTAGCTAATAAACAATATCAATCATTGGGCAAAAGTGAAATGAATATTTTTTCTGCTGGAGACTAACTAATTTCGTTGTGTTATTCTCCATAAATTAAGCGTTGATCTTGAACGGTGATGTTCCCAGGTAATTTGAATATCACTGATTAAGGTGTTTTCAATATGGGTTGGTTCATTGCAGTCGAAATGATTTTTTTCATACAAGAATAAAATATTTATTCACATTACTTCCTATATGTGTGCTTGACGTGACAACCCCTTTTCTTAAACTTTCAATGTTTGTTTCTTGTTATTTATGTTAATGTTCTGTCCCTATGTATTACTTGTACACACTATTATATGAAACTGTTGAGTGTTATCCACGTTTTATATCTTTCATTTTTGCTTTACCATTGTTTCAATACACTAATCATTTGGTTGGTGATTTTTAGTTACCTGTGTTATGTATATGAAGGATAAGTATAGCAGATTAAACGAAAAAATTAGGATGTTCAACATCGAACCGGACATAGTTGTGACAGACTGTTACATGTAATAATTTACTGAATGAAAATAGGATAAACAACGAAGAGGCTTTTTAAATTAACACTTCAAGGATCTTTGAACAGACGTACCGACAGCTAGATTTTTATGTTAATATGAAAATATCTTCTTCAACTGTTCAAAAAAATCTCCAAAAGTATTATGATAACTGTAGTTTACGGTGGTTCATTGGCAGAATACCCTCGTTTAAGAACGTCTTCAATATGTCGTGAAGGACTTTTATACCGGAAACGTGGCCGAATAGAATGAATAATTTTATCAGAACGACGGCATGTGTTAACAAGATTAGATCAGAAAGAAACACGGTTGGACCTGTAGTGCCGTACTTTAATAATAGTTCACTTCGATAACCGTTATTATACCAATCTTAACAGCGTATAAAATCAGAAGGCAAAAGGAAGCAGTAACTACATTTTTATTGATGAATGCTGCAGACCAGAAAGCTGTGGGCACATGAGCAAGTGTAAGCGAGCAAAGCGAAGATGATGCATAGTGGAGATGGCTGGGAAGTCAACTCGATATGAGCAAGCATTACTCAATATTTATAATCAGACAAAAATGAATGACAGACATATGATGAGTAGGATACGAAGGGTACACATATACGCTCATATAAAAATATAGTCAAGGTTTATAAGCAAATGATTAACAAGATCAAAACATGACTCATAATGGATAGGCTAATTGGCTTGGCCAGAAGCTAGTATAAAGTATATGAGCTTAACATATAAACTGATACTACAGTCCATTAACATACCAGCCAGCACATAGTGTGACATTGAATAAATGGCGTGATATATAAGCGAAAATATTGTTTTCGATTAGATCCTCATCAGGCTTTACTCTAATATACAGTAATATTTATATGCATATACGAAATTATTAAACCAATCAAGGCAGTTTATGAGTCAATGATAACAGTGGAATAGATTACATAATTAAAAATAATAATAAGTACAAAGTACAAATCGGTAGTGTAATGACAGGTATACTAGTTGTGATAAGAATAATAAAGGCTTGAATCAATGTTACATAATAGGAATATAGGACAATGGTTAGAAAAATATAGACACTGAAATAACATTCATAAAAATTATAGGATTCCTTAATAAGAAGTGTTCAGATAATTGGACCGTGAAGCGAATATTTGAAAAAACAATAAGTAAATAATTGATAGGGGGGTGAAGAAAAATAAACGAAGAAAGAGTCTGGAAAATAAAATTATTTATTAAGGCCAAGGTAGAGATAAGGGTGTTACAAATTTCTCATGAACACAAAGAATTGGGTTGTTGGATCGAATTCCTATAGCTTCTGCTATGTGTAAGAGACGAGATCGAACCCCATAAGGAAAAGCAGTAGGAATACGATAAATAACTTTAAAAGACTGGTTTCTGTCAACTTCATGACCGCTATCAATCAAGTGTGAAAGAATCGAGCTCCGTATCGACTTGACCATACCTTTTCCTAACCACAAAGGGAGGTGTTCACTAACTCTTTGGTTCAGTTGTCTGGTAGTGCGCCCAATATAGCTTTCTCCACAGGAGCAGCTGAATTTATAGATACACATAGAAGTGACATAACCAGGCAACTTATCCTTTAGTTAGGGAATAACCATAGATCGTGTCGAGTAAGAAAGAAAGAGGTCGGCTGCATTAAACGTTCTCTTAACTGCTTTAGTCAGTCTATCCCGTAGTACATCTTCAGCCTTTTATTATTCTTATCACAACTAGTACACCTGTCATTACACTGTAGTGCCGTGCTTCGATAATAGTTCACTTCGATAACCGTTACTATACCAATCTTAACAGCGTATAAAATCAGAAGGCATAAGGAAGCGGCAACTACATTTTTATTGATAAATGATGCAGACCAGAAAGTTGTAAGCACATGAGCAAATGTAAGCGAGCGAAGCAAAGATGATGCATAGTGGAGATGGCTGGGAAGCCAACTCGATTTAAGCAAGCATTAATCAACATTTATAGTCAGACAAAAATGAATGACAGACATATGATGAATAAGATACGAAGTGTGCAAACATATACGCTCATATAAAAATATAGTCAAGGTTTATAAGCAAATGATTAACAAGATCAAAAGATGACTCAACGGAAAGGTGAATTGGCTTGGCCAGCAACTAGAATAAAGTATATGGGCTCAATATATAAACTGATACTACAACACTATCAATTTGTACTTTTCACTTATTATTAATTTTGATTATGTAATCTATTCCACTGTTATCATTGACTCATAAACTGCCTTGATTGGTTTAATAATTTCGTATATGCATATAAATATTACTGTATATTAGAGTAAAGCCTGATGAGGATCTAATCGAAAACAATATTGTTCGCTTATATATGTTGTTCTAAATCACAATACGGGAATTTTTCAAATTTTAAATGGCGTGAGTAGCAAAAAGTATTGTAAAGTATCAAGACGCCAGATCAATTTTTTACTCAGTTCAATAAATATCAAAATGGTTATTTAAAAAAAGCATTTTCACCTAATATCACATTGTTATAACTTGTGACCGAGTGGATGCCATGTTAATAAGACTGCCAATAAGAGAGCAGTGAATTATCGATTGGAACAGTGACACAGGGAAACCGTACGAGCAGTCTAGAGTACGTATCGGTCCTGCTTCTGACTAGCCTAGCCAGTTGAGTCCAGAACAGCCTCTGTGGTATGAATCATTATATTTCAAATATACTGAATTTATATACCAATCAAGCTGACCACATCGTACCAATGAAATAGAAAACAACATATGTGAAAGATTTAGCCAAATGTGGCTGTTAATAGGGGGAAATGTAATTAGGAGACGGGGTGTAATTCATGAATGGTAAATCGTATAATAATAATCTATAGATTAAAATAAAGTTTATAATAAGAGGGACACGAATCTGAATAATTTAGTTATTTAGCGATTATATGACAAAAAATATATGCATTGTATTGGTCCACAAATAGATTCCAAAGTTATCATTCATTATACTTATCGAGGCATAACATATATACAAATGGAAATGCATGAATCATCGAATCAATTAATCGACTAGTAGTAAGGCCAGCGAAATGAATATATGCTTAAGCAGTAAGCAGCGCTCAAGCGTACATAATCAAGGTACAGCAGTATAGATAGGTTGTTGTAGAAATAACTGTCCGTTAAATAAATTAACAAAAGGGCTTAATCAAATTAGATGTGAACAAACTCAATTGTACGTGAGCTGCTATAGTTCTTCTTGAGCACCATGTGTAAAAGAGAAGCCTGTGGGCTACTGGATTGTTATATGAAGACCAACCTCATTACTTGTTCAACTTCCAATTTTGCTATCTTCAGCTAATCTAGTGATATTCTACGCGATCTCGTACACACTGGTTGACGCGCGAGAGTTATACAATGCTTTGTATGGTGCGATATTCTGTCACTTCGGTAATCAGCATTTGTAATACAATCAAACAGGACATCTGTGAATAGATTTTTGTCAGTATTACAATATAAGTACCGAAAAGCTCCCTATCAACAGTTGTACAGTGTACGTAGCACGGATGTTCCCGCATATAACTTTATTTTCGTTTATGTCAAATAGGTTAAAAGCACCGAGAAACTAAACCCCGATAATCGTTTTCTTACTCTTGCTATTTTGAAAATTCATTGAAAATATCAACGAAGTCCCAGGTCTAATGTTGAAAACTGCCTTCTGTACATTCGGATAGTGGTTTCGTAGGTCGTCTAAAGCAACCCAGTTACCCGAATTACTTGCTATCACAGTATTGTCAAAGGAATTATACTAGTTTCTGTTTCTGTGTTTACCAAAAAATCCGTATGAGGACTATTGTCACTGACAGGAAAGAGATGGTTTGTCATTTGGGCAGAAACAACCCAAAAAGACCAATCAATCCTATCCCAAGTACCCAAGGAAACCTAGATATTAAGGGATGGCCTGCTGCTTAGTAATATCTTTGAGTGAAATTAGGTAATTTGTGACATGATCATCCGATTACCTTCTGTCTGACAACACCAAAAATTGTTTAATCCCCTTGGAATTCTGCATCTGATGACGCTAAATCACCCTTAAGGTTTCACTCCACAAAATTATATAACCTGACACCCGCATTACTCAACATAGTTTACAATGTTGACTTTGGATCATGTGTTGTTAAAAGTCATAGGTTTTCATGAGTCCAGCTTTGGATTTGAATGAAACCATTAAAGTGTACCCCAATAAGGTAGTGGTTAACAAAAATATACAGATGTAAGCATAGGTACAAGTGTTGGGGTGATCCGGAAAATTTCTCGCAATAGTCATGACAACCTCAGGAAACATTAAGAAGTATTTTATCCAATCAGTGTTGATTAGACGCTTTGCTAGAAACATTGCGATTGTCAAAAGTCACATACAGAGCTTCCAATTGGCTGGTTGCTATACTGCTACTATATTTAGTAATATTCCGGAATTTTCAGGAAAACTCACGGACTTCTAAAATACTATAAAAACCCCATATTATCTGTACATGAATGAACCTTGGAAGCAAAGTGCTTCTCGTATATTCTGCGCCTTTTCTCTCGTGTTCAAGTCGCTGTGTGGATTTTGCTTGGGGGTTACGAGAATAGCTTAGGATACGAATATAGCGTCCAATTAGAGAGACTTATCACAAGAAAATAGAAAGAGAACGCTGTGAAGAAACAAATCTTTGGGGGCTCTAGGATATGTTGGTCAAAGGTTTCAGCTCCAGATTCACATACCAATGCCAAACAGACTATGGAGAAGCAAAGTCTGAACAGTGTAGATGATGCAAACAAAAGATATAACAATAATTATTATTAGCTTACAGTTACACCCAGAAAAAATATCTAGGAAACAGAGTGAGACCTTTACGTTTGATGCCGGATCCGACCGCAGGGATGAGAAGATTACGGGAAGCAAAACTTCACAGCCTGTAAAGACGGGCCGCGCCGACGGGCCAGTGGTTTTTCATAAGTTAAATAAATCTTCCTTCAAGGAACCGAATGCTATATCTCAATACAACCCGAGCTACATTAAATACTCAATAAACAAGCTACTTCCAGAAACGGTAGCGGAAGTTAGCGTCTATAAACTTTATAGAATAGGGGAAGAAATGAATTCTGAAAGTACGCAGAAAAGCCGTCTCTTAAAAGTTGCCCTTACTTCTACTGACAAAAGAAAACTACTACACAGGTTGATTGAGTCCGGAATATATGTCCATGTGGATTTCAGTTTGGCTGATTTTATAAAAAGACGATTGGCAGAGGCAGAAATAAATGAGCGCCACCGGAACGGTGTATAGGTTTTACACTTAGGTGTTCTCACATTGCAAACGTCCAGAGTTAATGATCCTCAAAACACTCTAAGTGGTGTAGGAGAGTTCTTCATAAAATTAAAGCTGTGCTATACAAATGCTTTCAGTCTACAAAATAAAATGGCGAAGCTCAAAACAATAGTGGACACAGAAAACCCTAATGTCATTGCCATCTCAGAAACATGGTCAGCGTCAGAAATGTATAATAGCGGAATTCGTTTGCTTGGCTTCTCACTTAGTCGGACTGACAGACTGAACCTTAGGGATGGATGGTTATCGTGTACACGAAAAGCACCCTAACCATATGGCATGTCAGGACTGTGCTCTGCCGACATAGAATTACTTGTAATATGCCACACTCAAGAATATGTGGTGGATCCAATTCTCCAAAGTAAAACTAAATCCTGGTCAAACAGGTGCAGACGACTTTAATGTACCGTCTATAAATTGAGGAAACATAGACGTAGGGTCATCAAAAACATTGCGAATAGTTAGAAATCAAAGTCTCACTAGATTTATTCTAGCGCATTAGACATTCCACAAAATACGACCTCAAAAGCTCTCCGTTTTTCTCGGACTTATTCTTCACACACGGTGATGTCAGTCAATTGACTTTCCTTTCGCCTATACGGACAAGTAATCATGCAGTCATCTTATTTAAGTTCGTGGCTGAGATTACCTTTGAAACAATTGCGACAGCCCGTCCTTATATACAAAAGGCAGGCATGAGGGCAATCAGTCTCAGTTGAAAACGGGATAACTGATTCGAGGACACCAGTAAAAAGGGTTAGTACTAATTTCCAGTAAACATACAATCAAGTAACTCAACTGTTCATGCCCTCAACAATCCCAGGGAAGAAGCACATTCACCCCTGAATAGGCCGGGATATTTGACATTTACCAAAACAGAAATCTTGCTGTCAGCCTTGGCACACCAAGTACCATGGAACGCTACAGGTTGGCGAGAAACAAGTGTGTAATCAAGAACTGAAGAGCTCGAAGGATATTTGAAATGCAGTTGGCACAATCTGCACTCAAGCCGCCCAATAGATTATTCTCGCACACAAACTACAGGACAAGAATTCATCATTGGATTCCCAACCTAATTAAAAGACGGAGTGAATCTGAAATGATAGAGTATGGTCAGGAAAAAGCGAACGATTTCGAGGCAGTTTTCACTCGGGATCCTCTTCTAGACGAAGAACTGGACTCAAATACAAAGTCAACAAACCATCTGCTCACCGTGGACTTTAATCGAAGCGATGTACTTAAGGCTCTTAGCACTTGAGGTACGGAAAAGTCAACAGGATCGAATGAATTACAACCAAAAATACTGAGACAAATTGCACATTATATTGCAACCCCACTAACTGATATTCAATATGTCACTTGGTCAAAGTGTGTTACCTACGAACTCCAGTGCATAAAACAGGATCAAGATCATTTCCATCGAACTACAGACTTGTCAGCCTCAGCAGTGTCGCAGTTAAGATACTGGAAAGAATAGTCAAACAGACCATAATGACATTAGTGGAAGCCAACAACTTGTTAAACAGAAAATAAAATGGTTTCAGGATATCTTTATGTTACATAATAAACCTCTTTATAGCAAGGGAGCAATGGATAAAGAGTCTGGACAATAGAAAATCAGTGAGTGTTGTCTACATAGACTTAAATAAAGCTTTTGATAACGTGCCAAAAAATTGACTGCCCTTAAATCTGGAAAATCTGGACATTCTCAGACCTCTCATATAAAAGAGCTTGACGACTTCGTTGTAGATCGAAGACAGAAAAACAGAATAGATACAAAATATTCCTCCTAGAAATCAGTACTTGATGGGGTTCCACAAGTCTTTGTCCTAGGGTCTTTGCTTTTTATACTGTACGTAAGTGAATTAATAGGTATAGTTGACTCTCCGTTGTTACTGTACGCTGATGATATAAAAACATGGTGAGGTATAACAGGGGATGCAGATGCATGTGCACTTCAGGTGATGCGGATAGCCTGGATAGAGTAAATAGGGCAGCTACCCGTGCAATTCGAGAACTACAAGATTTATCATACAAATAGTGGCTTGAAAATTTAGACTTCTTCACTCTGTCTCACCACAAATAAAGAGGTAGTCTGAATTTGATATAATGAATACAAAGAAATGATTTTGGATCTGACATATCCTCACATTTTCTTTCTACGAGATCGTGAAAACTCGGACGAAGTAGCGGGGGAGTAGAAAAGTCAAGAACGAATAAAATATCAGTGGCATACTGGTTTTCATACCGAGTAATCAATTTTCGGGACCTGTTAACCGAGGCAGTGGTGTTCTTTCTTTCAATCGACTCATTCCGGGGAAGATTGAACACTTAAAGAAACATACTAGAAAGGGAATGACATAGGCCACAGGGTTTCTGTCCTTACTATAGAAATCTGAATCTGATAGTAGTACTACATAACCAGTAAAAAGCGACCACAGTATTGTCAGATAATACCAGAATACTTTAGCAAAGTATGTACGCCAAGGATATTTTTTCTATTTGTAATGAAAAGGTGAATTATTAAACTACTGGAAGAACGCCATATTAGTTGTGTCTTCAAAACAAGAAAGTGAACTATAGGCCCGTAGTCTCAACCTGTAAGGTTAATAAGGTTCTTTTAAAAAATATACAAAAATAAAGGTGCAGGTGTCCGAATAGAGAGTTAATCTTCTTTAAAATCTAGCGCGATTTTAGGACATACTATTCAAATTTTTCGAACATGAGAATGTTCGTCTTCCCTAAAAGGTCAGTCACTAGAATATGGTACTCCCTACCCCAACACATGCTTTGATCTGATCTTGCCAACGCATCCAAAAACAAGTTAGACCGACTGAGAAACTCGGATCCTCAGAACAAGCTCAAGTCCTTTCCAAAATGAGATTGAAACTAAATTTATTCTGACTGTTTTAAAAATTTAGAAGCGCTCACTTTGATTTCTGGATCTGTATTCGTGTGTTGTGTTGTTTCCGCTGTTGTCAGGTTGTACATGAACTATCTTTTATTTAGACTGTGATTGCGGCCACAAACCTGTGAGTGCTATTAGTTGTGCCATTCGACAAAGCAAGCATGTTCATCTATGATTTAAATGAAGTTTTATTGAGATCTAAACTTAATTAATATACTTTGAATTCAAAAAACACATTTTTCAATAATTACCTTTTCGTTTCTTGAAAAGATTGGCGGTTAATTTACATGAAAATGGGATTCTCTAAAATCCCACAAACTGGCTAAATCTCCCACTGTCTATCAATTCGTATAGAACTTAATATCAAGACCCATACCAATACACCAATAAGCTTCTGTATCCGTTTATTCAGTAGTTGGTTTGTCGGATGTTAACAACGGCCAAAAAGCATTAATGTAGACGGCTTGTAACATTAGTCATACGCATCAGGATCTAATACCTTACTAAACGCCTTGTTGTTATCAGCAAGAGAAACTGAGTTTTCAACCACAAAAGTGCTTTTGACCGATTATTCTAAAAAAAACTGTGGGCATAAGTAGAATCAAATCATTGTGGATGTGTCGCAGTCTTATTGCACTTTATTAAAAGATATGGGAAACCAAATAAAACAGCTGGCTAAAAGCGAATAAGAGGTTCACAATAGTATTTAATAGGATTTTGAGTGATATCTTTATCTGAAGTTAGCCATGATAACTCACAAAGTAATGAATAGAACAATGACGAAGCTTCGATTAAACAGTTTTAAAATCATTACTTTCAAAGCACGCAGCTAAATAAGAATAGAACAATATTACGTTTATGTTGACTGGTATGAAGTAAGTTCCTTAGATTAATTAGTAAAAATTACAAATTGATAAAAACACCTTAATATTTTATGAAAGTGGTAAACTTTGAGATATTTTTAACTACAATTTAGGTTTCAATGTGAATATTAGTTAGGCTTCTTACGTGTTCTTGGAATTGTTTGACTGAGGTTGAAGGGATTTTTGATTTTATTATTGAGTCAATAAGCATATGGCATCACTTTAAAAGTCATAAATGGTATACCAAACTTCAATGTACTATGGGAACAAAGATTCAAAGAATACGACTTCAGCATATCTGGCTCTGTAGAAACGGATATTAAAAGTTAAACTGAGTAAATTCCGTGCAAAAGCTAAGGGGAAGATCAGTCAGTTCATAAACTGGCGATTTTCGAAGATCTCTGATCAGCCACCTATGTCTCAAAAGAGCATGAGGCTTAAGTAAGCAATCATCTCTCGGCTATGTTTGGCAATTTTAGTAGTATATTGAGGAAACTGACGCGCGTTCATGATGCTTCTTGCGGACGCTTAATTGCTTTGGAGCGATGAACTTACAAACAGAGTTTTGTATATATCTCGTTTCTTTTACGGGTACGTTTTGTACACATAATAGCTTTATTTCTTTACTTCCATTTAACTCTTTCTCATAAATTTAACTTCAGTTTTAGCTGAATTAAGGGAAAGTTCAAGTTAATTTTGTCAACATTCTAAAAAACATTTGTTACTTTTTGTTATAAATCCTCCCGATGAAAACTTCATTCTCTTTACGTGCAAATAATTCCAATGCCGAGGTTAAACTTCTACAATCAAAACATAACCTAATACACGAACTCGTAACTTCTGAAATTAAATACATAAGTTACCTGAAGAAAGTTTTGAAGGTAACTTCATATTGTTTATCTAGTCTTTTAGTACTTTGCAAGGCCTTTAATTGACCGCAGATACTTGCCGGATGATATGCACTCTGAAATTTTTGGACGTCTCGTGCCCATATTAAGTGTCAATGAAACTCTTCTTGAGTCTGTTTTAACTGTTGGAGTCGAGAAAGCATTTCTCAAGATTTCTCCTTGCCTGAAATTATATGCAGATTATGCTAGCCGCTATCAAACAAACGTTGTGTTTATGGAGGTGAGTTGTAGTTCCTTAGACTGCTCTATCTGAGACCTTCGTCATATGTAGACGCGTCCGTAGATAGATTCGTTAATTTTACACCCACCAAAATTTATGTAGATCGTTTTCTTAACGATATGGTTTTCTTCTTGATTAGACCATCATATTTTTCTTGTCTGGTCATGTATCACGCAGATGAAATGTCCTATCAGCACTCTAAGGGAAGTAATTATACAGATTCTAACCCCGATCCTAGGCAAACACAATTATCTAGAATGTGACTAAATTGGTAATTGAGCATTTCATGGAACTTAATACACTATACCTTCACTAGTTAGTTGACTACAGATAGGTCTAGTAACAGAAATTTCTGTTAAAACACACTTCAAAACGTAAAACTTTTCGAACACAACACACAGTTTTCATGACCAGAGCAATCTTTAGCTCAAAGTTAACACCCTGAACAAAACGGCTGAAGTATCTAATCTCTTGTTCAGTCTGCTTGGATATATTGTTATTTATTATTTTTCTATCTGTATTATTATTGTTATTTGCAAAATCAAGTAGTATGAATCAAAATAAGACCTCCTCTAAGCTCCAGACTGGTTAGATGTAAATATTTGCTTCCACTTAAAAGTTTGCAAAGCATGACATTTTCCTCTAACTTCGTGGGTTTCTAGTTTATCCCTGATCTATCATTTTTGCTACTGCAATACATAGTTGGCCGAAATATAACATACTAAAAGTAACTCCTCTCTAGATGCACTGTTTCACTATTGGCATAAAGAGCTACACAACTAAAATCTTGCGTTTGAAATACGTGGTTTGTTTAATGCATAAGCGAACTGTGACACTAAGATCTTCGGTGGAGCATTAGAAAAACTCATGAATTTCATGGAAAGTTGGGGGAGTTTATAAAAATATAGTTTCACAAAAAGGCAATGGAATTTTTCAGCGTGAGTTGTGAAGACTACATGTTTGATGCAAGGTTAGGATGACCCTATGTCCGTATTGATGAAAACACTGAACGTGCACCAATCTCTTTCGCTTTTTTATCGTTGACTCCCTGTTAGCATGGTTTCTAATGACCTAAATTAGGAAAAATCGTCTGTATTCGAGATTGTGCAAAAAAATGAAACAATAAGGCAGCTAAAAGGCCTGTCTTGCACAACATTTCTGGAATGTTGTGAACAAAGAAATCAACGCTGACAGAGTTGGAAAGTACTTTGAGAGACTAAGACTGATGTACCCTTAAGCTTTGTAAAATAGAGTCCTTGTGACATCTGCTGAAGTATTTGATGAACTGAAGATTCCGAGCTGAAATGCAACCTGACAATAACAAGTTGAGCAAAGAAATATTTCTTTTCTAATGGTTCTTCATCAGGGCTCTACGCTAATACATAGGTTTTACAGTTAAGAATGAAATCAGCGGCAAGTAAGTGGTGGTTGGTTAGTTTAACAATGTCTTCTCTAAAACGGTAGTCAGAATCTCAACATCTAGAAACCAGATTGTATAATCTTTTAATTACACAATTGGTTACGTAAGAATAGAAGTTGAGTAAGTTAGAAAGTTATGTCGGTCCCCCACGACTATCTGGTTAGGTCCTGGAGATGATACTACACCGTGACTTAAAACATCACTAGACATGGCCCAGATAAAGACAGTGGCGGTCTTGTAGTGGTTTTCTTTTAGTTTTTAAAAGTAAGAGGGAATTATTTGACTGAAAAAACTGGTTAGCTGCTCCCGTTATTTTTCGCCCTCGTTCACGTATTTTCACTCATTTGTTTTCTCTTTTTATTATGATCACCTCCCTTCCATCTTGGCACAATCTTGTTTTCTTATCCTGTGATGCATTATTACTCTGTTCCCCTTCTGTAATTAATATTTATGCGTTTAAGTAATAAAATAATAGATACAAAATTTAGCGATTAAATATGCATGTTTAGTATTGTCTGGAAAATTAACCGACCAGTTGTAAAAAAATTAGGTATTCCGATTACTAAGATAAATAGATCATGTAAAATGAAGTTAAGGATTAAAATTGAATGGAACTGAAAGTTTTTGGAAGCATAGTAACTAAAGCAAAGAAAACCATGGTAAACTAAGAGGCCGAACAAACTCTCCTGTAAATAAGGGACCTGGGAAGGAGATGCCATCATAGTTTTTTTCGTTTTTGAGGGTAACTGCTTGGTGAATTCTGTTCAGTGTTTCTAATAAATCCTACCCTTCATCTTTGTTTTTAGGACATCAAAGGCATCATCCATATAGTGATAATAAAAGTTTAACTCACCACGGTCCTCAAAGCTCCAATTTCTAATTTCGGAAAAGAAAAATCCCCTAGGACGGGTCTTTGTTATGACCTAGTAGCGACACCACTATATTATCTTTAGAGCTCCCTATTACACAGAAAATGCGTTTTCAGCGTACATTTTACGATCAGTGCTTGCAAGGAAGAAATGAGGATACTGAGTTCCACTAGCTGATTTCGAGGCTCACTATATATGAAATAAACTGTTTCCGTTGAAGATACGTTTGTGACACATTCCGTGATATCATAAATCTATTATTCACCCCCAAATTTCTAGTTTCATCAATAGATTTAAAACTATCTTTTACGTTGTGCTGTAAGACGTCTCTATTTAGTAGCTTAAGAGGTTCTACTATCCATCTTTCTGCCACAGAGACGTAGATTTACCAAACCAAGGACTTGACCAAGTAGTAATCTAGATTTATATACTTTTGGATAGATATAATGCCTTTGTGTCACGGTACCACTGAGTTTGAGTGTTACATAAAAGTCCTCAAAGATTGCACCTGTTTGTTTCGGGATATTTAGTGAATAAGTCACTTGACATAGTCTCTTCTGTTGGGTCATTCTTCAAGGATATTGTACTTATCTTTTCTACATACGTTGCTCTCTCTATGAAGATTATTCCTGGCTCGTTGTAAGGTTTACTGACTGCTAGATTTTAATTTTTCTTCAGTTTAAGTGATGATTCTTAGTATCTTTTGGTCAACACTTTTTTTATTCTGTGCTGGCAGTTTAGATATTAATATCCACAATCTACTAAACTGGAGTTAAGTCCTTCCACATCCCCGTAAATAAGAGGTATTAGGCCTCTTATTTGTGGGTAGATGTTTTAAACCTGAACTTGCAAACAGCACTATGACCATCACAAAACTCGAGACCAGGAGACGATACTTTTTAATAGTCACATAAGGATAAAAACTCGAAAATCCGCGGAAATTTCGACATAAACTTATTGGGAATCTAATTTTTGGGATCCAGTTTTCTAAGCTTTGAAGTAACTGAGTACGCTTCCTTTCTTTTCTTACGTTCATTACTTGAGTCACTTACTATCGAAATTGTTGCTTCAAGTGGTCAGGGAGTCTCTTAACTCCATATGATCTCTTAGGAAAATCTTTCTTCAGCTCCTTAATACACTGATTTCGTAATACGAATAACATAGGTTCATATAATTTTCTTTCCATATTCCGCATATTGCAGTAAATCGTGATTGTTAGCTATAATATAGAAAATTTGATGAAAGAAACTTCACATTATAAGACTAAACAAGTCAAAGACTTAGTCTGAGATCTCTCCTTAAAGAATGAAGATAGCTAAGGTGTATGCTTCTGCTAAAATGTGCAGATTGAATTATTTATTTTATCTGAATACATAAGCATTGGTACAAGGGGGCACAAAATACATATTCACCACACAATAACAATGAGACCAGTAGTAGTTATCATTAATTTGTGTGAGGGCTGTGATACTACCTGGCTGTCTAAACCAAAGCAGGTGGTTTTCTTGGGGGGCCACACCCTGTATCAGAATATGAGTGTCCATAAAATCACACATTAACAAACGTAATTATAAATCGATTGTGGAAAGTCAATAGGTGAGCTGAGTTAACCCTTTATCAAAGTTTAATTTTTTGTAAAAGTTTCAATTTATTCGTAATATATTCATATGGAAACTTTTATTATTTTTTCGGAGTGCATATACAGTGTTTTTTTTACTTTCACCTATTTACCTACAACATATGGACTCGAAAAAGTATATAAACCATAGTATTCACAGTGGGCAAATGTTCTTTCGTACTTCCTTTACTTATTGTTATTCTCCTGAAGTTGTTTGGTTGACGCTTTGGAACGAATCACAGCTCTTAAAAAATTCTCATTTGCTATTTAAATTATTTTGTAACACTTACAAACAATCAATTTATGGAATACAATCGGGTTAGCAGAAAAAAGTCACTTTTATGAGGTTTGCATTTTGATTAATTAATGGTGTCCGTACATGTTAAATTAAGTGTTGTTTTGGTCTTTTAGACTTGTAATGCATTCATACCAGGACTAGTGGAGTTTATAAATAAACAAGAAAACTTACCAGATGTTAATTTGCAGCTTTCAGCACTCCTCATAATGCCCATACAGCGCATTCCTCGGTATGTCTCTGTATTGTTAAATCTTTGGTTTTATTATGTACGATTACTGTAGAAACATGCTTGTTGAGTATAGATTTTCATATGTACTAATGCCTTGCCCCAGTCAGTCAGTCACAACGTAGAACTTCGTACGTGCGTACATCAGTTCGAGTTGCCATACCACATTAGCACAGAGATGCAGTTGTCGATTCAAATCCCATAGTGGTAGAAGTAGTAAGAGTATAAGCAGTAATCGGAAAGATTAGGGTTTGAAGATGCTATTCAAGGAGTATAATCCAGTGAAATAAATTTGGAAAGAGAAAAAGGATAGGGACATGAAGAATTCAGAAGATAAGAATTTGGCAGAACACAAAGAGTGGATGAACCCTCCCCATTGCATACGATTTTGAGCCATGTCATTCAAGGTCTCTAACCATCGATTGCTATCATCTCGCGGATCTCAACCATTTAGTCTACATCTATCAACATGACCCAGTCCACTTGTCAGTGACTTCATGGATTTGTGCCACGTTTTGGTTTGGCCGCCTCTAGCCTTCTTCCAACCTACTCCTACACCATAAAACATTGCACGTCGGGACAGTCGGTGGTTGGGCATACGAACACGTGTCCCAGCCATCTCAACTGATGAAGTTTCACTACTTCATCAATCGATTTGCCATCTTTCACTAGTACCCGTTTTCTAACAATTGCATTACTTACTCGGTGGACCCAGGATATACGAGCAATGCTTCGAAGGCACCTATGATCGAAAACTAGTAGCCTACGAATATCCTCTACTCTTATGGGCCATGTTTCACTGCCATAAAGTAGGACGGAACGAACTGCTGTACAGTAAACCCGTCTTATGGTTGCTAGACGGATATCTCGCCTACGTCATAAACGACGCAAGTTGGCGAAAGCTAGACGAGCCTTCTGTATCGGTGCTGAGATTTTGTCATACACCAGACCACAAGGGCTGATGAGACTCCAAAAATAAATGAAGCAGTCAGCACTCTCAACTACTTCACTCCCTATCATTAGTTCGGGTGTCGATGCAACCCAATCTTGAAGTAACATTTTGCACTTCGAGGGAGAGAATCGCATCCCGAACATGCCTACACTGTTGCTTATAGTGGTCAGACGACTCTGCATTTTGTCAACGTCTTCACCAAATAGAAGTATGTCATCGGCGTATTTTAAGTCAACAAGTGAGTCTCCCGGTAAAAGTTCAACTCCAGGAGATTTAGATGATGAAAATGTCATTTATAAAAGCATGTTAACTGCAAAGTTGAATAAGAATGGAGAACGTGGACAGTCCTGACGAACTACACTTGAGGTAATCAATTCTGATGACAGTTCGCCATAGGCTCTAACTCGACGAGTTGTGTTCGAGTAGAGAGCCTTTATGAGGTTAATGTACTTTTTTGGTACTCCTTTTAGTGACAAACACTGCCACAGAACCTCATGATCAACGGAATGAAATGCCGCTTTAAGGTCAAGAAATACTACTATTGTAGGACGTCTGAATGATCGCCTGCCTGATCGCATCAATTTTTTTAAAAGAAGGATTTTATATACATTGACGTCATTAGAAAGAACTATTAGAAAAAGTTTTAGATATTTTTTGATTCCTGAAATGTGCCATCTTTGAAGGCTAAAAGCGATATACTTGACCAAACCTGTCAGCAAATTACGCTACACTTTCGTGTCATAGTCAAATTATTGAAAATATAATATTATTGTATTGTTGCTCCGCTCGCAAACTATGTTTCCTGTGGTCTGTGGTTCAACGTTTACGCACATGTTTTACCTGTACCAGGATTTGTGTGGTTTAGTTCTTAGTACGCAAACATGTGTATGGTCTCACAGATAGGTTATTAATTATTTTATACGTGCTGTTGAATAGAAGGACTATGTCTTCAGTGAAATTACTTTTATGTTTCTGCAATGTCGATGAATGTGCTCGAAAACTTGACGAACCTCTATTTTTTGTAGGTATTCTTTAATGCTTCAGGAACTTGTTGTCATTTGCCTTCAACTGGACGGTTTCAGCAATTCAGAAGCAAATAAATGTGCCATTAGTATTAACGACGCTGCTCGTCAACATTTTATGATACCAGAATATGCAGCCACTCTTATTTTAAAACTATGGGATAATCATCAACAAGTTCATTACTCTCCGGAATCTCATGATTCAACCTTTTCAGATCTGAAACGTTATATTCATAGAATGTGTGCTTCCACAATTATTCTAATAGCAGGTTTTGCTAGTGTGGTAGCGACAGCAACATTTTTAAATGAACAGATTAGAATCAGTGAACAAGCTAACAAAGCCGCTATATTACAATCAAAACTTTTTGGCAAATGGTCGCACAACCTCATTCTAGTACCTGGGCGCAAACTATTGAAGTATGGATTGGTGAAAAAGGTAAGTACTTCAAAGTTCTGCGATGTTAAATTCTTGAAGTCATATAGTCATTCGGTAACTTCATACCATCTAAGCAGGGATCTTTGACTTTCTATATGTTTTGAAATCTTAGTTTCCGGATTTGTATCACTCTTCATTGACATCTTTAAACGAAAGTCGGTTTAGGCTTTACCTATGAGTATTAAGTGTTTAAGCTGCGTACAACGTCATATATATCATTCTTGATTTATCTTTTTGGCAATTTGTGCAAAAAACTTAAACACGTAATTCATCTCTCAATTCAATCCTTTTCTATGTCGATAACCTAACTTATTTACTTTGTTCAACATTTAATCATAGCTTTTTTCACTCCAGGTGAATTCTCTCGATGGACTTGCAGAAACTCGTTTACTAGTGATTATGTCTGATATACTGATATGTGCTAAGCCAAGAACCCAGACGGAGTTGGAATCCATTTTCAGTAAAAAAAAGTGTGTTTATAATCGAAAATATCCTAATCCTTTTACACAGTTTTACGGAAGAAAAGTGTCTTCAGAATGTACAAAACATATTCGAAGGTTGAATGACACGAACCCATTGATTCAGGTTCCTAAATTCTCTAAATCAATCTCACAAAGTTCTAATTCTCAAACTTTTAACGATTCGACTGATTTTTTAACAGATAGTAAAGTTTGTTTTTCATGTGTTGCTGTCTATCCTCTTCATCACTGTCATGTTCAAATCCATTTTAAACCACATACTACGTTTCTGCAACCGATTCTTGAGTCTCCTGAATTTCAACCGAATCAAAACAATTCAGTGTTTATTTCTCCAGTTTCTATCGGAGGATTTAGCCGTGAGTATTATTCTCTTTGTTAATTACAATACTCGTAGCTTGATTTGTTCGTTTGTGTAGTGTTGTATATTGTCACCAAACTTTAACATCTAAAAATATCTGAATTATTCAGTTTTTTATCAGTTTTCTTAAGTATATGAATTTATCTGTCATCAGTCTATTCGCTGAGCTATTTTTTTTGGTTTGATACAAAACTTTTAGAAATAATGCGGGGATTTTAACAGGCTTTTGCAAAACAATTTGTTAAATATAGAAGGGGTTTTGTGGAGATTTAGTATTTATTATAGTTGAAAGCGTGAGTCAATTGAAGCTAGACCACCATGGAAAACCTGGAAACACTGGACGGCCGAGTGAGAAGCAGTGACCAGTGGAGTTCAAAACCACGTCTGTTGTGAGATAGGAACTCACTGAAGACAATTGGTGAATGGTTGCTCAACTTCATGGATCAGTTGAAGTTAGACATTAACACCGTTGGATGCCAGCTCAGTGGTCTATCGGTTAAGGGCTTCGGCTCGAGACTGGTAGGTCCTGGGTTCGAATCTCGCGAGAGCAGGTTCGTGGATGCGCACTGCTGAGGAGTCCCATAATAGGACGAAACGGCAGTCCAGTGTTTCCAGGTTTTCCATGGTGGTCTAGCTTCAATTGACTCACGCTTTCAACTATAATAAATTTGTTAAATGTAGTTGTAATGTCAAATCGGAACAAACATGTGTGAATTCAAAACGATTTTAATATATTTATAATTTTCTGCTTATTGCATAGTAAACTTCACTTTCATATCATTATTATATTATTTTATATACCATACCTTTTTTATTTTCATTTCTGTCATGTGATGCTTAGATTACAATAAGAGAAAATAGTTTTCCGACTTCGGGTATAAACTACGTTGGGACGTTTTCGTTCTCACTAGCTAAGCCAACATGAATTCGATAGCACCCGTTTATCAGATAATGTCTGTTTACTTTACTTTAGAACAATTGTGTTTCTTAAGTGAAAAAGACGTAGTCATTAGAATTATGAGAAAAAAATGTTCAGTCTATAATCAGTAAAATGTTTTAGCTTTCAGAGTTTCTTTGAAGGCGGTTTTAAGTTATCGTTTAAATGTTATTTTTCTCTATCCATACTACTAATGGTGAACCTGAAGGTAGTTCATTTACATATAAGTTACACCTTCCGACGGCTTTTATTATTTATTATTTATTTGAGCACATAAACATTGGTACAAGGGGGCACAAAATACATATTCACCACACAATAACAACGAGACCAGTAGTAGTTATCATTAATTTGTGTGAGGGCTATGATACTATCTGAGTGCCCGAACAGGAGCCCGAACCCTTGACCTGAAGGCCTAACCCACAAGGCAGTGGAGCAACTTAAGGAGATGCAGTCCCATGGTAGCCGGTGACCAACGATTGACTCACGCCATTTGTTCCTTCAGGATACTGGAGCCCATGTGCACCACTGGTATGGAATCAAAGTTTTCCAACCCCCCTAAGTAGATCCTCCATATCCACCAACCCGGTTAAGGCATCGGACATTCGCTTCTCGTCCTCTCAATTTCGTAAACAGCACCCCCGCCACGAGAAGGTTGTGAGTAGTAATTCCCTGGCAGTGGTTGTATACGCATGGCCATGTGGGAGCATTTCGAGAGGAGGAGCGAACTCTCCTCTCCCTCGTCTGTACCAGGGGATTTGGGGTTTTTTGGAGAATGTATACCGTTAGAGTTAATAAGGTTTACTTCCATATACTTAGTAAATAATCAATTAACCTTGGATGGATGTAAACAGCCGTAAATTTTGATTGTCATGGTGTGACCTTGATTTCTATCTTTTTCTTTATAGTACAAATTATTGAGAGTCTAGGGTTACCAATTTAAGTGACTTTAAAGTTACTCACATCTTGTGTCTGTTGAATAAAAAGTGATAAATCCAAAACTTTCGTACACTAATGTTTGGTTTAACATTAAGGAATGAATGTGTTATGTGGTTACAACTTTAAATGCCTTATGACTTGCAAAAGTTCTGAACGATTATTGATCAACAAACTCTTTACTATCTGGTGGGGAGTAGAATAGCAGCCCACTTTGGGCTCTTCGTAGTCTTGAGATATATCAATTAAAAAAATCGACAATGCAATAACCAGCTTATTCTAACGTATTCTTTATGATTGAACTAACCAACAAGTCAACAATAGTTATGTTGTATTTGGATTTCTTTTCAGGTCACACTGCATCAACACCATTGGCATTCGATGAATATGCTTGTGAATCAGCATCTGTTGTAAGATTGAAATCGGATTCATTTATTACTTTCAACGAAGATGACTGCACAATGAAACACCCTGAACCCTTGAAAGAATACAATTTCACTGTATGTCTTAATTACCATTTAAATAACCTGTCTTTGTTATTTTTGTACATGATAATCATGTAATATACATTCAGCATAAAATTAGGTAATAAGACGGCATTATTAGTGTGTTCGATCAACGGCTAAAAGTCTCATCGATATATATCTGTTTTTGTAGTCAAGGTAGATCACTGGTCCTCACCTAAAAAGTGTACTTTTATAGAGTATACTAGGATCTATATTTCAGTTTTTACTAATTTTTACAAACTGTCAATAATCGAAGTGTTTTTATTACCAAACAATTGGTAGTAGTAATGACAATGTTTAGGGATATCATAAATAAATGATTTTTATACTTAGCCTATTGTATTGTATTAATATCCCTCAACAAAACATTCAAGGTTAAATCTTTCGCTTGAACTTATTCCTCAAATGGTCGTGGTTCCGGATCAAATAAAATAAGTATTCAGCAAACATATTGTCTCCCACGATTTTAACTGTCTTATTCATCTATTTTAATTAGTTAACCATTTTTATACAGCCGCATTTTGGTGAACTTCATATCCTATATTTTTAAAGCAGTTTACAGCATGTTTTTCAGTACGAATGTACAGAATAAGTAATTGATTTCGTCGAAAAGAAGATTTTCTTCGCTGAATTCTCTTCATTTTTGTTCAGTAACACAATGGGTTAATTCAATTTTCAATAGGTGTTTCTCAGACTATAAAAATCAGTATATTTTAATACGGACAACACAGTTACATGTATGGTTTCTTGTCATATATTTTTACAACAAAAATGCTATTTTTAAAACCACCTTATAAATTAAAGATTTCACTTTCTCTGGTTCATTCACCTGTTTTACAGTAATCCACATTTGTTTATTGTGTCTAGTGTTGTTGCTTTCAATACCCGAGGAGCATCATCCTTAAATAAGTAATGTCGATAAAATAGATCGATTCGTAAGTTCTCGGTAGTTTAATGATTATACTTTTTTTGTTGCCAAGATTACCCCGTTTCAAAGGAAACTTACGTATGCACATGTAAGGACATAGATCGGCTATTTAGTTAAATTTGGTTCACACTTATTATAAATATTTGTGAAAATGCACAGCAAGCATTGGGGTTTTAAGTTGAAATCAATTCATCTCATCTCTTGTACTCTGAACCTTACACATAGACTCCAAATTGTACTAACACATCAAATATTTTTCAAATGTAGCTTAGTGTGCAATATGCGTAAGATTATCAAGTTCACGAACGAAAAATAATTATAATAACCCTCTATATTTTCAAGTTCACTTTATAGAAGAATGGAATAAAAAAGGGAAAAAAATGACAAAATCACAAAATCGATAATAATTACCACGAAACTATAGTAAGGTAATCACACTAATGGTAAAAATAATCTCTGGAGATTATATCAACATAGAAAGTAATGATAATAATTTTTATTAGTGGATTAAATGACTTTATGCATATCGTATAGGAAATTACATTTGTGAAACATCTTATGTATTTATAAAAGTCAGTGGGAGATTTGGAGCCTCACCAAATGAAATGAATTGACTTAGTCCCATAATTTTTTTTGTTTTGCAAAAGTTCAAGCATAATATATAGGACTTAAATATTCTTTCACAGCTGTTATGTTTTTACTGGAACAGTTATTATTGATGTACGAATATTTTTGTCTTCTAGGTACATTGTCGTGACGCTAATTTTACTATCGTGAATGGAAATTTAAATGAAGCAGAAGATTGGATATCTAGTTTGGAGACAGCTATTCAGTAAGTGTTCCATACATTCTGTGGAGCGGTATTTTTACTTTGTCGTATATTCTTAGTAGTCACAGTTATGTAACCACAGTATTCTCAGACTCAGTGTATTTATTTGATGTGGTTTTTACAGTTATACAGTATTGATATAGATGCACATAAAATTTACATAAATGCAAAAGAAATTTCTTCAAACTTTCAATAGTTAATTATTTTAAAACAAAAGAAACATGGCACGAGCAAGTGGTTATCAGGACTCAGTATCTAAGTGGACAACGCGATGGCGTTTGAAGTGGACGGTACTGGGTTTGAGTCCCAGAGTGAACACCAACTCTGATATGCAGGTACATCCAGCGGAACAGTCCCAAATAGCACAAAATATGCGTCCTGAATTCCACTGCTAGCTACTATCCATCTTTACTTATAAAGTTTGTGACTTCAGGCCATATCGAGGCAGTCCGCACAGTATGCACATATGCCAATAAGAGACTGACCAGTTGCAGTCCTAAATAACAATGGGAAGATACAAGTAAACAACACCAAGTGAATTTAAAAGAAGCATATTAACCTACTTATGATGACTTAAATGAAGTATCCGATTTGTTAACATTTAACATAATCAACCCAAAGTACTTCCACATTTTAAATTTATTCATCTAGCAGAATATATTTGTTATTACTTACTTCATTTAAATATCATTGTTTAGAATGTTCCATTTCTTTGTGACTAGGTCATTTGCCTAACAGATTTATGTGTTAGTTTATACCTAAACATTTTCAAAACCTGTTTCTTTTTCAGAGCTGTTAAAACAGCACGAAAAAGCCTTCGTAAAGAAAGCAGTGCGAAGTGGCCAATGCGTGCTTCAGATTTTATTCAATTTGAACAATGGCTGGAACAGAAACGAATAATAGAAGAGGTGATAATCCTTCAGTTGATATAGTTTCATATAATGAGAACAACTGGTTGAACAAAATATCGTGAACTTATTGCGTTTTATTGCTCTTCCCATATTCCCTCACACGTCTAAGTTAGTAACAGTATACAATATATTATGGAAACTATCATAACTTAGCTTTTTGGGATCAGATTGTTGTTTAACAAATCATAACACATTTATGTGGGTGACGTAATCAACATACTGAATTAGACAAAAAACTAATCAAAAGCTCACACAAACAACATAAACCGGCAACATGACTCTAATCAATCATATGCATTGACACAAGAAAATAGGCAAAATGTTATCTACAAAACGAAGTGCTCCGATTGTGAGAAACACTACATCGAACTAGGTGAACAACCCCTTCATCTTCAATTTTATATATATTGAACGTTCGTTATAATGTGAAATATTTAAAGAAAGTACTAAAACCACGTTTTATAGTAGTGGTTGACGACCATCAAAAAAGTGATTTTTTAGTTGGATAATGAGTCAATGAAAGTGTTTCGTATCTTTTCGGAAGTTCGCTTTACTTCCATTGTTAGGTTATTAACTAATTGAATTAGGTGAAGACCAGGTAATATGTACTTTAGATATTTATGAGATTAGATTACTTGCACGATAAAAAAACCTGTTTCGGCCATATAATGACTTAATGTTAAAGCCTAGTGTTATAGGCTAGAATTTCACTCCATCCGCTTAGACTTCAAAAAAATCAATTACTCTTTTCCTTTCTTGATTAATATACCTTAAAGAATTATGTATAAACATCTATTCGGTCATTGAATTGCATCGCTATCAATATATACAAATTTAAGACTCCTTGTTATAAATAAAACAATAATTTGTAGAAAGTTATGTAATTTTTGTATGAATTTACACAATGCTATTGGTTAACCTCATGGAATATATAGATTGAAAGCTTGTGTGAAAAATTTGTTCTGATTAAAATTAACAAATCACAATTCCATTTATGTTTTACTCATTCAAATGTTACGCTTTATGGTTCTAATAGAAATGAAGCTTTAAAAGAATGAAGCCAGTCCTACACTAAATGGTTTTATTTGTTTTAATTCTGGAGCGATTTCTTGAGCTTTATCAGACTGTGTTGAAAATTTGGCTAAATAACTCTAAACATGTATATATGGAAACACTAACATTAGATAATCTATTCGAATCATCACTGTCCGCAGGCTATTTGACTATTTTTGTTGACAGTTCAATGTGATTTCATACTTAACTGACGACACACCATAGAGTACGTTTGTGCAGTTTCAAAATAGCTTTCATTAAACACTATTTTTAACCTTTTATCAGTACAAACACTTAGTAAATATTATTCATTTGACTTATTACCAATAGACAATGAAGTCTTCTGGAATCTTTCAAAGGATGGGAATGGAGGAGTTGACTATTGGTAATCCCCTTTCACCAATAAATTTTCTTCAGTCATCTAGAATGGAACAAAAGCTTGAGGAATATCGTAGACGTAAATCGATCGGTTGTGATACCGAGAAAAGCAATCGGCTTTCTCATATATTTTATGAGTCTGGTTGTCTTGAACTTAATCCCGAAAAATCAAAACGTGATAAACAGTGTGGACTGTTTTGTCATTCGTTTATGTCTAAATTTAAAGAAAATAAATTCGTTGATGCCTCAGTAAGTTGATACTAAATCGAAGAACAGTTATAGTTGTTGTTTTTACATCTTAATATGATAACTAGTTCTTATCATGTTATATAAATATATTTTATGCAGTTTATTAAAAAAATGCCTTGTTAAGAGGGATATGATCAAGGTACGTGAGATAAATTAACGGAAATAAAACCCATGCTGATTTATCATTGTAGTTGAGTCTACATTTTTATAATTTTTGACGACATTGTGTTACAATTCTCTAATCCTATTCGTTCACAATGTTCAATTTTTAACGTCTGCCGAACCTGGAATTTCGAGTAAGAGAGTGAAAAGTAAACAGGATGATGGAATTGCTAAAAAACAAAAAGCTGTATATGCAGCTATTATATATATATATATATATATATATATATATATATATATATATATTTAATGCTCAGGTGTTATAGATGAGAATATGTGCGTAGTGACGTAGGCCAGGTAAATAATCCACTCACATACACTAAGCCTTTCCACACCTACACTTCCCTTTCAATAGTCTATCTGATGTTGCAACTGCATATGACCTGTCTGAGATCTCTCGATATATCAGTAGGTTTTTAAGCCAACTGAAATACATTAATGCTTTGTTAGGTTAGCCAACTGTAAAGTTACATTTTCAGTCATTTTTTTTCTAAATTTTGATTCATTTATCCTTATCTCAAACGGTTGGTTGTTTTGGTAAGAAACCGTAACTTTCTGTTCATTAAAATATTAAAGAAGAACAAATATCTTGGTTGGACATCATTACTATTGGTTTCATCGTCACAAAAATTAAGAAACACTATTAATATGTTGTTTTCTCATATAGTAATCTATTTTTAAGACCATATTACTTATGACATATATTTCGATACTGAAGTAATAAGCATCCAAGTATTTCTTTATCATATACCCATAGACTTGTTACTTTAATTGTCCCAAGAAAACCCGAATGTAAGTGCTAGTGATTTTAAGAAGGGAAGGCTGGGTATTTTCCTAGGTTCTCCTACAATGCAAAACGAATTCTCGATGATATTTATAATTTTCATCAAGTGACATTTAACTATCATCGATTCTGGTACCCCGAGGTTTAAATCATGCAGTAAAGCGAAATTCATTAAGGTAAATCGTTTTTTGAAATTAGAAATGCCTTTTTCTTGAACAAAAGTGACTATCATCAACAGTTATTCAGTTTGGTTTAATTAAATATGAAAATAATTTTTCAGAAGAATAAAATTACTCGTTAGTGTTTTAGATGGTTCACCATGTGTATTTTAGGTTGAAGTTATGAAGAGCAAACTTTGAACTAAATTATTTGCCACCATTTTGTAATGATAATTATAATTTGGAAAAATGATGTTTAAGAAAAACATATGGTTCATGTAAACAATAAACTAATAATCCTATGATGGATTTAGAAGAGAGGCACCTATACACAAATGAAATGGAAGAGGTCATTATCTCGTAAAATACTAGGCATATAATAATATTTTAGGCTAAATATGTTGTTATCAACTCGTTATTTCTTTAGAGCGTATCATTCATAGTAGGCGAGCGGATTTGAATTTATTAACTAAGCTGAGGGAGAGATCCTTGATTATGAGATTGAATTTTGTATCCAAAATTATTACTGAATTTTTAATGGGACTATATTTCCTACAGGAAATATATAAGCCACTTTAACTGGTTTACAGTTATATTATCTTAAATTTCTCAACCATTGATCAAGGAAATCTAGATCTCTACTTTGAAATCCTCAATCACTGACACTGGTTAATCATTGTTTTACTTCAATCCAGGTCACTCATCCGATATGCTGAAGTAGGCCTTAACTAGGTGGGCGCAAGTATTTTCTCAATCATATCAGTTAGTTTAAATTCTGGCTTTTCAATGGTTTTGCAACCCTCACCTCGTAACTAATGCTTAGCGTCATTGTAGTTCCATGTACATTAAAAGTTTATCATTTTGATGAAGGAAATTTCATGTTTCCCTTACACTGGTTATAGTTAGAGTTTTAGTTTCTACATCCAATTAGTTAAAAACAAAATATATTTTGAATTATTATCATTATTATTGGTGGTTTTATTAAATATTATATTTTAGAATTCTCAGCTTAAGGTATTTCAACAAGTTTCTCTTCTAAAAAAGAAAAAAAAGAGAAAGAAATTGATAACTGCATACTTATAAGTTAAGTAGATAAACTACCTCTAATTAATTGAAAGGTTTTTTAAAAGATATTTGAATCTGCACAACATTTTGATTAGAAACGTGTTTAAGAATACAATATGTTGACTAGGTTAGCTCTAACAACCTGTTCATCACATACTATATTTGCTAGATAAGGTATTGTAGAGCTTTTATATCTTCACTCGCATACATGAATTCTAATGTACTTGGATCTCGTTCTACCGGAAAATATACAAGGAGAAAGGTATAAATGAAGTGGATGGTTAGCATCCGATATGACAACACCTTTCAGAAGTTTGAAAGATCCTAGATGTTTATCTACAACTATATTAATAATGACCTTAAAAGATTCACTACACACCCTTTTTTCACAATCCCGGGAAAGAATAATGGAGAACAGTAAAGAATTATGGGTAATATGCAAGAATTAACATAATGTAAAAGTTAATGTCGAGTAATGGAAAAAGCATGCAGCCTCTTCATACAGTAAGTCAGAAGACAAACTTTCTTCGTGGAAAGACCAAGAGAGCTCAGATGAAAAACTTACATCAAGATGAATGACCTTCGAGAACGTTTTCATTAAAGAATGTACAATGGTACTATCTTTATGGGATTCCGACAAGGTGTTTTGGTGCTGTTCATGTTTTACGCTAAATTTAAAAGTTTGGCAGACGGATTAAGTGTGAGACCATTAACAACAGACCATCCAATACAAGACAAGAACTCACTCATTTCAAGGAATTGTAAAGAGGCAGAAATCGGCATACAAACAGTAAAATCGTCCGCATATTTAACAAAAGTATTTTCTTTGTAAGATAGTAGATCATGAAAAAAAGTGATAGAATAGAAAGCAAAGAACAATTTGTGGCACATGATGAATCAGTAGAGACATTGAACACTTTCCTTCAAACACAGCGTGCTGTTCTCTTCCAGAGAGGCATGAACATTATCAGTTAGTTATCTAGTTGTCAGTGTTGACGATGACTAACTTATTAAGTAGTTGTCTAGGAATAGAGTCAAAGGCAGAAGTATAGTCCAGAAAAGCTCATCGAACATACTTCTTACCCTTTTCCAAGCTGAACACTATATCATGATGCACAACTATAGCAGCATCTTAGGTGCTTCTTTTTATGAATGCCAAATTCATTAAGTCCAGGTTTTCATGTTAGCTAATTCTATGTTTGAAGGTTTTCCGTAACTCCATTGTAATATTAGTCTGTTTTCATTTGGTTGTAAAAAATATTTCAGAATATCCTGTTCTTAAAATGACTTCTAGGTACTTGATTATTCAAACAATCCTGTTCGTTTGTTATCCATAACAAGTATTCCTGATAGGCTCACATCAAGTTTCATTCCATTCAATACAGGAAATCATTCGTACAGCAGTGATCGTTGTTATCATTCGAAGGATACTCATAGTACTTCATTTCCATCTCAATTAACGTAAGTTTACATAATTTTCTTTCATACACTTGAAACAAATGTTGGTCGTAATAATATATTTCTCAGTATTTTATGAATACGAAATGAAACTTATCTCTAAGAAAATTGGTCTTTGGATTCGCCTCTATAAACTGTTGATTATTCTTATTCAAGGTTTGTTTTATGAAGTAATAATGATCACTCATGTTTAACTTGATTATCCGTGGGTGGCAACCAAACCTCTTGTTGAAAGTCACTACAAAATTTGAAATATTCGAAATATCTAATCGAAATAATGCATTATCATGTCATTATAATCTCATTTTAAAAAACCTAAAGAAGTGTTTGTTGTGTAGTTTAAATCACGAACTGATATTAACCAGACCATCATTAAAAACTTGAAAACACTGAACTGTCGTTTCGTCCTAGTAAAAACTCTTCAACAGTGCCCATTCACGACTCATTCACAACGAATTGAACCTAGGACTTTCGATCTCTTGAGTGAATGCTTATCCTCTAGACCACCGGACCGGCTTCTAGAAGTGGAGTTCTAGAGCGAAACCGTGATCAGTCGAGTTCAATCGTATTGAATGTTAGACAGTTATCCACTTCAAGCAATGGATTAGAGTTGCGCGATATCCTTAATTGATTGAAGTTAGACATATATATCATTGGATGCTAGCTTAATGGTCTAGTTGTTAAGTGTTAGTAGGTGATATCAAAGGTCCTAGGTTTGTTTCGCTGTAGTGGAGTCGTGAATGAGCACGACTGAGGAGTCTTATACTACGACGAAAGGACCGTTCAGTGTTTCCAAGTTTTTAGTGGTGGTTTAGCGAATATCAGTTCTTGACTCAGACTATGAAAACTCCACCAATCCCCTATATATTTAAAATGTTTATTAGTTTGGTCGAGTTTAACATGTGGTTTAGCCATCATTCTAATTATTATACTGTTTAGGTTAAGATCTTAGTTCCTGTATATATATCAAGTTCAACTTAATTCAGTACTGAATATCACTGGATTAAAAAGGATTGGAAATTATGAAACAAACAAATGAAATACACTGATAAGAATTCATTATATTCTGTAGGTTTTTGTAGTTGTTTACATCCGTAATCGGACTAATCAAACGTATTGGCCGAATTGAAAGATAACATATTGCACAATTAATTTACTTGAAATGACAGGTTATCAGTGATAAGACTATTAAAACAAATGAGCTAGAAAAGATAAAATTGTGCAAAAGCAGAAATGAATTAGAACGAAAAAAAAATTAATAAAATTTGTTATGTAACAATCGTGATAATTCACGTTAGTAGAAGTCATCCAATGAACTCAAGATTACTTTGGATATTGATGAGGTTAAAAAGCATATCCAAAAATGAATGAAAACGACTTACGATCAAAAACTCAAATTACTACGATTGTGATAAATTGACAAGGACTATCAAATTAAATGGAATGATGAGTTAGTTAATTATATGATTTACTTTCATCTTTCTTAAACTTATACGTTTTATAATAGCTGCTAGAATCTATTTAAACATACTTTAATTAATTATATTTAGATTTTAGCAAATAAAAATTATTTTACTAACATTTACTTGAAATTTACCTAATATCATTCGCTATTGCGTTACATGAAGAACAGTTTTAACAATATATTTTAATCATAATTGAATTCATCTGATAGCAACAGTAGGAAATATAAACAGTTTACACAAACATATCTTTAATTTACTTATAGCAAATAGATCAATTTGGAAATGTTTGATGGCCATTGTTTCTGAAAAACGGATTAAAATTAGTGACTTTGTCACCACAGGTGCATGTAAATTCAACTCTAGATAATTCTAAGAACTTACATGTACCTGTGCTGGCAAGTATATAGGAAGGATAGAGAAAAAGGTTTCTAATCGATTTTCTATACATATACCTAAGAACCTACGCCTTAAAGCGAGTTAAATATCCACGACTGTAATCGCTAAACATTTTTGAATAATAAACATAAAGTGAATATAACTATAACATTCGAAGTAAGCAGAAGACAAGAAACAATTTTACTCCATTGTGTAGAGGTAATAGCTATCAAGCATTTCCGATCTGACCTATTTATACAGGAGGAAATTGTGATTAACTTTTCTGTAATAGCGACAATGTGTTAAACAAATTAATTGACTTATGAATTTAATTATTAAATTACTAAAATCTCCACAAAACCCCCTTCTAATAATAGTCATCATGTGCTCACAAGTGACTGGCTACAGGAGTTATTTCCTGGAGTTCTAATGAGAAGCTGTCACCATTGGAGTTCAACTGTGTCTGTTTTGAGATAGTAACACCTCTGGATGCTGGATCAGTGGCTTAGAGGTTAAGCGTCCGCGCGCAAGACCGACAGGTTTTGGGTTCAAATCCCGCGTGTGGGATAGTGGATGAGCACTGCTGAGTCCCATATTAAGACGTAACGACCGTTCAGTGCTTTCAGGTTTTTCATGGTGGTCTAACTTTAATTGACTCATAAATACAACCACTAAGTAACCTTTATCAATTTTTCAGTCTCTTTTTCATCGATTTTTATGTTACATAATTTTGTTAGCGTCTACATACTAACTTATTCTAGTTTATAATCACACTGGTTGATTATGCAACCATTTGCTTATTTAATTGCCATTTAAACATTTCAATAAGCTCAAAGTAAAAAGTATTATAACCTTCCTATTACATAATCATGTTTGTTCATGTATCCTCACGGAATTAATGCTTAAAAATTATATATATGAACGATTGTACAGCTTGATGATGACTTCGTTGAAAAGAGATCCCTTCTCTGAACCTCGTGTTTTTTTTAATTTGAATACGCTTTTATCTTCATTATGATTGCCTGCAACTATAATATCATCTGTTCCACTCTGCGTTATTACCGTCCAACAATATAAATACCAAACAGTCTTAACTATTTTTTATTTGTACATTCTGTATACTATTCCTCATGTTATTACGATCTGTCATGGTTTCTTTTTTATATTCTTCTGAACTTCACCAACTTAAATACATTGAACATTTGTTTATAATCCTATCAATAATTCTAATTTTAGGCTGTTGGCAACTGATGAGATGTTGTGAAATAAAGTGAATTAATTTCATTTCGCAAACTTATTTGTTGTCAGAGAGACAAGTTGAACGAAGAAATATTTTATTTCAATCCGTTCTTCATCAAGGTTCCACACTAGCATATATTTTTTATAGGTGAGTAGAGAGACGATACCAATTAGATGGTTGTTAGCCAGTTCAACAAAATAATAATCACAGTTACATAACGTACGGAAATTGAAAATGAAGATTAAAACTAAAGTGAATGATCATGATCAGTTACAAACAGTCACATAATTAAAATTGGATGTAAATATAAACGGTTTTTGTTATATTTGAAATTAATGATAAGTAATTAGTTTGACGGGTGCTGTGAAACTTAGACAGTATGATTAATAAAGAGGTTACGTAAGATTAGAATTAGAAATTACAATGGTAACGAAATCGAAGTTCGGGAAGTTTTAAGTGAAGGAAAAGAAAGGTTTCGAAACATGTAATGGTATTTAAGTAGAAGGCCAGGGTAGATTCAAAAGCTGCATAAACTTTTTCTGTGTACAAAGGTCAAGTTTCTTTTTATGTGTATTCTTATGACTTCTGTTATATGTTAAAGTCGAATTCTAGACCCATAGGGTAAATCCGGCGAGATTTTATAAATATTTGAAACGCTGAAGTATTATCTTAATGGTGACCGGCATCGACTAGATGCGCCAACAACTAGACAATTTATTTAAATCATAAATTCTGTATGATATTATTTTTTAATAATAGTTATTCTTATTTTATTTATACAGCCAATCTCGTAGTGGATGTTTGTGCATGTGAAATGCCTGCAAACAGACTTTTGTGCTGTAAGTAACTTTTCATTATTTCTTTTTGTCGATGCATTATTCTTTTGAAAACTAAGACTTTATTTTAAAAATGTTTTAATTTCATCTTTTATTGTTGCGGAGTTTTAATGAAATTTATTTTACATTATGTTTCTTTCAATTCATCAGATATCATCAATAACAATAGAGTCTGCAAATTCTTTTATTCATTCAGTAAAATATTTCCTTTACTTAAGGTAATTTTCATGCATCTATGTGAACTACTTCTGTTTACTTTAAGCCTTTTAGTCTTTCTTATCAAAAGTTTCTTTCCATTGGTAGTACTTTCATGTTATCTATGGTACCACTGCCTTCAACATTCGATATTCCAACTTCCAATTAAATAATTTTTTCGCTAAGCAAAGTTACCATACATGAGACATGAGTAAATTGCAACATTATAAGGAGAAAAAAATAATAAACAGTGAATGTTTCAAAGTCTTGTATAATTATTTGTTTGTTGTGTAATTTCATGCTATTATGACGTAGTGAAAAATAAAAATGATAATAAAAGATAATTGAGGACAAGTACACGGTAATTCAAAATGTACATTATCTTAGAATAATAAATTATTATAGCAACCCTCCCTACAATTAATTTTGCATACTTGTGATTTTGTCAAGCCCTTTTATTAACTTATTTAACAGACAATGTTATTCGGATAGTAACAATTTGTTTATTTTTTTGTATTATTATGATCAACATCCTGTCTGTATAAACGTGTATGCTTGGTCACATGTGACAGCCTACGCGCATATCCCTAGCTCAAATGTTAATCTCTTAAATATCGCTCGATGAATCATTCTTTTTAACATGAATATATGTTCTCGAATCCTATTGATAGCCTTTGCTTTGTCTCGCTGCCCCCTTTGTCTCTTGCCCCCCCTCTCGCTGTCTCGATTTGACTATAAATCCGCCTTTGTATTCGCTCGCTTACACACAGCCCCTGGGCTCCGAATTCGCTCGATTTGCTTGTAATTGTTATCTGTGCTATCCAATAATAAACTGTAGTCGCTGCTTCGTATTGCCATCTGAATCCATGCCCTGTTGGGATCTATTTAATCACGGTTATCAGGGTGATTGATAAACTAAGCCAAATGAATTATCTCAAAGCCAATCCACTACACTATGAATAGTCATCAAACTGATTTTATTGATAACAGTTAAGATTTATGAATTAGTGAGTAGTGTCTTTTTTAATTGTTAATATGAAAGTACTTTTGATAAAGCAAAATTACTATCATTCTCTTAAAATAAATTATAAGTGATATTAATGAAATCATTAAAGTTATTTATATTCTCTTTTTCCGGTACTTTTTATCAGTTTAGAATAGACAACAGATGCAAAGAAAACCAATTCGAAATGACTTGAAGTAAATATATACTTCTACATATACCACAATTGAACAACACTTTCAAATCATCATGAGCATTGTTTAAAATATCAAATTGTTGTAATGCCAATTCAGATTTTATTTTGTTTATTTGTTATTTTAAAAAAATCTTAAATAAAGCCATTGCTTACTCTAAGTATTATTTTTATTCTTATTCCCACAGAGATTAATCAATCATTTATAATGTATACTTCTGTCTTTCTTTTATACTCTTTTTTTTTTTCATAAATCTTCTATCTTCCTTTTATCCGATATATTAGAGATGTATTTTAAATACAAGCATTTATTTGTAAACTGTTGGAAATTGTTCTAGTTATATCTTGAAGAAACATTATTTTTTTTCTGTTGACTTATCTTCTGTCTTTTTCTATTTTACACAACACAAAAATGTAGTGCTAAGTGAAATATATTTCAATTCTTATTTTAATGATGTTTCCGATTTTTTAATAAATAGGTTGATTTCCTGTTTGTTTTTTATATCCACTTTTTATTTCCACTTTGTTCTTTTTAAAAATGTTAATTATGCAGAAAAAGTTTACGTCTTAATAAAGCGAAACGCTTTTAATCATTGTTTTTTTCAACTTGAGTAAAGCAAGAAAACATCAATTATTATACCGTGAAAACCGTCATCATCTGCTTACAACCTTCTATTGAATTAAAAAAATACTAGGTGATATTACACAGTTGGTTGAAAAAGATCTTTCGTAAGCTGTAAACCTAGATTTATTGTTAGGTGCTGTAACGTTTTAATCTGCGTCACCAACTGTTAATTAAAGGAAATACTACTAAGCTGTTAAGGTTTCAACTGACCTTACTTGGAATTGAGATATTTACCAATTAGTTAATATTCAGTTATAAACCGGTATAATATTAGTGATTGTCTGTACCTGAAATGATGAAGGTTAACACCGACGATTTTGCCATGCAATATCATTAATAATTGTTCTCAAAAACAGAAATACTAGGTAAAGTTATAAGTAACCTGAAAAGTGACAAGAGAGATTACAGAATTTCATTAGATTCGAGTTTACTTTTCTTTCTAGTTTACGTAATCTATCAGAGTCAACGTCAGCCATAAATTTGTTGTCATCACTGAGAATGGATTCCGTTTTATTTTTGTAATCAGATTTATTCATATCAACGATACCTGATCCTTTATCAGGTCTAACCACAATAATATTAGCATTTTTTTCGTAATTCTTTTAACGACTTGAAGTGCTGAGAAGTTAATATGCTTCTCTACTTTGGTCCAGGAAAATGAAACTGGTGTGCTATATCCACTAGTTTAGCTTAACATCAACCCTTACACTCTAAGGATTTAGAGACTACAGAAATCAATTAATTAACTGACTATTTCAAATGTCAGAATTATGACTACAAATAATTAGATGTTGCATAATTTTCCTGTTAAGAACATTTAAACCATAGACTTTGAATTTCTTTTTAACAGGCTAAAGAATGTGAATATGCACCTATGTTGCTGTTTTTTTAGTGTGCATACTTTGTTGAGCACATTAAACTTGGTAAACTCGATTAGCGATAATGTGGTGATATTTTGCTGTTTTACCGAACATTTCGTTTTATGCAAGATGACGGTTTTGGCAGATATATAAAACATATTGATTAGTTTATAGGTATCAATGTTAAGGTTGGAATTGACAGTTTCAAATGAATTGAGCATTGAGTAAAAAGTTAATAATAAATATACTTTTTGTTATATCCCAATTAGTAGACAATCAGGTCAATCTAAATATAACCATCGTAGTTAAGATAAGGAAACGACTTTTGTAATTTTTCTTTCTTTATCGTAACCAGTTTACAACACTTTAAATAAAAAAGGAATATTATTAATAATTAGGTTATTAATTGGTTAAATCAACGCTTATAATATCCTTATCTATCACATAATTATTCTACCTACTCAAAAATAGAGAACATTAGTAATTTATAAAACAAGCTGGAAATTAGTATTCGAATCAAACAAGTATATTTATGATCCATGAGATAACATTTCATTAAACCTCATCGTAGATCGTCGAATGATTAATATTTAGATAAATGGTTGCATGACCAAATTACATTAAAATAACCTTGACATTGTAAGTGACGTACACATCACTGTTCACAATCCCTGTCCAGTAAGTAATTATAGTAAAGTGGAAAACATTAGCCAGTTCAAATAAACATAAAAATTTATATTCTCAAACTTAACTCAGTTTATTATTTACTTTACATCGTGGTTGCATATCCCTATATTTTCATAGGTGAACATTAATCACTAATCGATTCATGTTCACAATAGTCTGAACTGTAATCAAAGCCTATTAATATATACATTAATTTCTACTAATGTATGATCATGAGTGAATGAGATCATACACTAGATTAATCAAGTGGATGTCAATGGGAATGTAATGATGTTGCATAATCTAGTCAAGATTACCAAATATTTCAAGCATTGTGAATAATAATTTTTATAAATGGAACTATGTTATTTCAACGAAATCATAGTTTTCGAGTATTGAATAAAACGGGTTTGTTTCACTGAAACGTCTTTATTCTTTTAGATAAAGAAATAATTGAAGGAAATTTAGTTATCAAATTTGTTGATATTGAAGTTACAAAAATAAATTTGCCTAATCAACATTTATCTAAATAACATTTTTAAGTTGATTGAATACATAAGTGACTAACGTTTATACTCATACCAGTGAAATTTAAATAAATTCATATCTTCTATTTGAATAGCCACTGATTATTTAGCACACTGTGGTTCAATCGATTTGTTGATGGAGACATGTGGTCTAAAGACACTTGTCGATATTAAACTGGTAGAATTGTCAAGTCCATCATGCTAGAAGTAGGGCTATTAAACCCTGATGTTCTCAGATGCATGTTATTAGTTTAAGTGAAAACATTTGAAGAATTAGAAAATCAAATATTATTCGGCAAAATATTAACAATAGGACTCAGTAGATTTTCGTTTTATTTTGAGACTGCAATAGACATAGACTAAGTTTTAGTAATATAGTCTGTAATTACTTCACTGATTCAATGACTTAGTGATCTTTTAATTCCATTGTAACCAGATAAATAAACTACATTACAGTAGCCTACATTGACAGAAAATAGTGTAATTAATGCACTCTGTTCCGAAATGACCCTAGTTATATGCCCATTGATTACCAGGAGTCAGTGGGCGGCGGCTTGATTTTTAGTATGACTCTTCTCCTTAGCAAACGTCTATGACTGTTAATATCCCATTAATGCGAATTAAAAGCCAAAAGGTTACATTATTTTACGAACCACGTTTTACTACTCATAAGTAGGTAATGTATTTTAACAAAGGCTTCATAACACAGACTGAATGATGAACCAGTGATTCGATGGTGTGATGATGCCGTGATTTTGAGACCACCACTTATCTTATATACTTGTTACCTACAGTTATTAACATATTACTGAATATCATCCAGGAGATAATCTTTTTAAAGTTCATGTTAATCGTCGACCGTTTGTTGTCAGTTGAATCACGCAACGATTTGAATTTTCCTGTCTTTGACATTGAAGGTTGTACTTCATGATTTTTAAGTGACATATGTCCATACTGTGTTAATTACTTTGGTGTTATCTTAAGTGACTCGTACTTTAAGTAAAAACAGCTAAATTTAACTTAGTACACGAGTTTAAATCATCCAACTTTATCATATTTCTTACATTTGTTTAATCACTCATTAAAGTGCTTGACCATATAAAAGAATATGTATAGCATTTAAACACCATTCTGTGAGTATTGAAATCAAAGGTTTTTAAGTATGCAGTATTAAACGTTAGAAATGGTCACAAAGAGCTGAAACTACGGGAAATCAAGCTCAATTTTTATTATTAGTTTAGTATTTCAGTAATTTATTTAAAGAGGTATTGATAACCTAGTCGTTTTGCAAAGTGAAACTTACTATTTAATCCAGTAAATAACTATTTCGGTAGTATTCAAGTTGTTTCGCATCCTCTTGTTCATCTCTGTTATTCAGATACTTCTTACGTCAGAAATCATAAATGTCCAGGTGGAAATCTCAGATTCACATTAACAGATTACTGTGTTGTATATCGGACAGATTTCATATTGTTCCTCAATAATCAAACAAAACAACTTCCGTCTCGCATGCGAACTCTTAACCCTTAGACTACTGAGCCGGAACTCAACAGTGTTAATGTCTATGTTCATTAAATTCGCAACATTGTGTGACCATCTTCCTTCGTTTTTGTTAGGTAACTGTCTCACACCCGCCACAGATTGGACTCCACTGGTCACTGGTTCTCACAAGAACTCCGGAGATTTCTTCTCAAACCTAAACACTTCACGGTTTCTTACTGCGTTTTTAAGAGCAGGAAGACAATGAATTATTTTTACTTCTTATCAGTATGAACTACCGGTTTATCAAAGATAACAGTCATGCTCGTTTAATAGAGCATGTTTTACAACCTTATCATTTATCAAATGCAACACAATGAAAAAAAATTTTGTTTTCGATCATTTAATTTACTCAATCTGTACAATCGTATTTATAGTGACGGAACAAATGAAGTAATCTGACTTGTGTGAACGTGACATCTCTTTATTAAAATGTCAACATTTAGTGAACTCTGTCTGTTGAATTTGTTTACATCACATCCTGCAAGACATTTGATGACTTAATTTAGATAGTTATCAGTCTTAACAAGTTTTAAACTATAATCATTTCAAAATATATATTTGCTTATCATTTCATTCATCAGTTTCCTGTTTACTAATATTCATTGTTTTTAGAATGTTCTTTTTTTACTTCTAACTGAATAAAAATATTTACTATGTACCTTATATGATAAGACAATATCTGTTAAATTCAGTTAGTTTATCAGATGACGTCATGTAGTGAATAGGGATTTTATGAATAGTTTCTAACTTGAAAATATGAACAAACGATTTTACATTTCAGTCCTGATAAATCAAAACACGTAACCTAAATAGGTGTAAAAGAAAATTCATATCTATTATAAGTAGTTGTTATTTTGTTATTTTGTATAACTATTTATCGTATACCAATAGTATATCACTAACCTAATTAATCTTGACAATCCAAGCAGATATTGACTGGAAACAACAGAATATAAACAGAAAAATAGTTTGATTTCATTTCGAATGAAAGTGATATATGAACATGAAGATGATAACTGAATTACATTGATATTTCGATAATGATGATATTGAAATGATTAACGATTGATAGGTGAAAATGTATGATGTCTTTTAGCAAATAAAGCCGATAAATAATTTCAATATTGAAAAGTGTAGGGGAAAATATGCATGATTATGTCATAATCTGGATTATGATCTAAATGAATACCAAACAGATCAATATCAGAAATGTAGAAGATTTTGTGTAGTTCAGTATAAACGTCAACAATCTGTTAAAATTTGTGTAAGAAAAATAAAATGATTGTTGGAAGATAAAACTGAACCTGTAATAAGTTTAATTGTATTTGGTACTCTTCAGCTGGATGTGATTTTAGCCCTATGTTGATC